CACACACACACACAGCAATCTCTGTCTCTGTTCACTTCTTTCCCACGGTCTCGCCCCCCCCCCCCCCCCCCCCCCCCCCCCCCCCCCCCCCAACCCCACGCCCCCCCCCCCGCCCCCACACACACACACACACACACACCAGTCTCTCTCTCTGTGTGGATCACCCCCGCTCAGACCCCTGTTTCTGAGCTGGTGCGAAACAGCCTCCTCCGACTAGAGCCTCCCCCACTGACCCTGCTCCGGCTCAGCTCGAATGGAAGGACAGCATACGTTTAAAGATGGGGAGTTTTTGTTTCCAAACCAGTGTTTGGGATCAGTTGCTGTCCTCCATTTGAGAGCATGGTCACGGCGTGGGAGCTTGCTGTGCACAGACTGACCCCTACAGTGCCCGTGAATATTTTGGGACAGAACATTTATCACATCGAAGCTGCTTCTGGTAAACTGGCTCCTGATCCATAACCTCTAATGCATGGTGTGTGGCATGAATGGACGTGGACACTCTTCAGTCTTGCTAGGTTCAATGATTTTTCAACGCAGAATCTTGTTTGTTACATGTTGGTGTGGAAGGCATATATTTACCCATCTGTCTTTACCCTGACAACATTTCTTGCCTTGCTGCAAGCCATATACCTCTCCAGGAATTTCTAATCATCAAAATGTCTTGAGTGTGGCGTTGAACTGCTGAAGGAACCATCAGGACAGGTGACCAAAAGTGCAGTCAGAGGCACATTTGTACAGGGTCCCTTTAAAGAAGGAGAGCTTTCTGCATGGGATTTCTAGATTATCGGCTGTCTGCATTTGAATGTAATGGCCACAGGGAAATACAGGTCAATATTAGAGGACTGCAGAAATCCTGCAGAGTTGCAACTTTCAAGAGGTTTTTTTTTAATACTCCGTTTGTGGGATGTGGGTGTCGCTGACTGGGCCGAGCATTTACTGCCAGTTTCTAGATGCCCCTTGAGAAGGTGGTGGTGAGTTGCTTTCTTGAATCACTACAGTCCACCTGCTGTAGGTTGACCCATAATGCAATGAGGGAGGGAATTCCAGGATTTGGCCTCAGTGACAGCGAAGGAATGGGGACATATTTCCAAGTGAGGATGGTGAGTGGCTTGGAGGGGAGCTTGAAGGTGGTGGTGTTCCCATATATCCTTTGCCCTTGTCCTTTCCAGATGGAAGTGGTCAGGGGTTTAGAAGGTGCTGTCTGAGGATCTTTGGTGAATTTCTGCAATGCATCTTGTAGATAGTACACACTGCTGCTACTGAGCGTCGGTAGTGGATGCTTGTGGATGTCGTGCCAGTCAAGCGGGCTGCTTTGTCCTGGGATGTGTTGAGCTTCTTGAGTGATGTTGGGGCTGCACTCATCCAGGCAAGTGGGGAGTACTCCATAACACTCCTGACTTGTGCCTTGTCGATGGTGGACAGGCCTTGAGTCAGGAGGTGAGTTACTTACCGCAGTATTTCTAGCTTCTGGTTGCTCTTGTAGCCACTGCATTTATGTGGTGAGTCCAGTTGAGTTTCTGATCAATGATAACTCCCAAGATGTTGACAGTGGGGAATTCAGTGCTGGTAATACCATTTGAATGTCAAGGGGCGATGATCAGATTGTCTCTTAAAAGAATTGGTTATTGCCTGGTGTTTGTGTGGCATGTGTGTCACGTGCCACTTGTCAGCGCAAGCCTGGATATTGTCTCGATCTTGTTGCATTTGCACATGGACTGCTTCAATATCCGAGGAGTCATGAATGGTGCTGAGCATTGGTGGAGGGAAGGTCATTGATGAAGCAGCTGAAGATGGTTGGGCCTAGGACACTACCTGAAGGAGCTCCTGCAGAGATGTCCTGCAGCTGAGAGGACTGACCAACAACCACGACCATCTTCCTATGTGTCAGGTACGACTTGAATCATCAGAGAGTTTGCCCCCAGTCCCCATTGATTCCAGTTTGGCTAGGGCTCCGTGATGCCACACTTGATCAAATGCTGCCTTGATGCCAAGGGCTGTTACTCTCACCTCACCTCTGGAATTCACCTCTTTTGTCAGTGTTTGAACCAAGGCTGTAATGAGATCAGGAGCGAAGTGGCCCTGGCAGAACCCAAACTAAGCGTCACTGAGCAGGAGCTGCTTGACAGCACTATCTATCACTTTACTGATGATCGAGAGTAGACTGATGGGGCGGTAACTGGCCGGGATGCATTTGTCCTGTTTTTTATGCACAGATTAGTGGTAAGGAAGAGAGGAAAAAAAAAGTGATAATGGAATATTTTAAAATCCAAGGACACAAGCGGTATTACAGTGCAAGTCAGCAAGCACAAGCTGGCGGACTGTAACCACAAGGTTTGACTGAGCTGAGTTGTATGGAAATTGAGAAGATGGGAGGCCACCAGGACACACATAGTGGAGCTCAGAGGTAGGAAAGACATGGACTTAGGGTTTGACCAGCAGATAGACTGGCACAACTGTGACACCACATGATGTTTCAAAGCTCGTAGAGTAAAGAGATAAACTTCTGTTCTCTCACTTTGGTCAACTTCCATGAGAATGCTGATCCAACAATGGAGGACTGACAAGAGATATCCAAGCCAGGATTGGTTTGTGACGTAAAATCAAGAGGGGTATAGATTGAGTTACTGATAGGTGTCTTTTACTGAGTTTGGGGGATTTCAAGACAAGGGGGCACATTGTTAAGGTGAGAGATTTAAAAAAAAAGGACATGGGGGCAAATCTTTTACACAGAGCGATGTTCCTTTGTGGAATGTAGTTACTGAGGAACAGGTGGATGCGAGCAGTAACAACATTTAAAAGACACTTTGGTTAAGTACATGCGTGGAAAAAGTTTGAAGGAATGTGGGCCAGGAGCAGGCAGGAGGGACTAGTTTAATTTGGGATTATGTTCAGCATGGACTGGTTGCATCGAAGGGTTTGTTTGCATGCTGTTTGACTCGATGAATGATGATCTCAGAACAGTGCTGTGCTTTTCATTATTGGTTCTGCCACATCTGTCATATCATCGAAACAAAGACCCAAGCCCTTGTCCAAGTTGGTGCGAAAGATCCCAGGGCAATTTTTCAAGACTAACAGGTAATTCTATTGACTGACCAGTATTGAGTCCTCAGCCACAAAACCAAAGTAGCATTTATTTAATTTCTGTTTGAGAGCTGCACAAACTTGACCTCCTGCATCCCATCAGTTATTACTCATCCAAAATATTTAATGGGTGTTCAACTGCTTGGGACATCTTGAAGCAACAGGAGGAACCACAGAAATGCAAAGCAGTACAGACATACAAGTTTACCCAGAGCTGCAAACACAAATTTCTTTCATTTCTATTGTGACTAACTTGTGTGTGTCCAAGTGTTAGACAGCCGTTGATTTAATTGCTGATGACTCCTGTCACTATCTCAGAATTCAGACTGTAAACAAGTAATATGCAGAGAAAGTGCTTTGAAAAAAAGATGGTGGGAGTTGCTGTCTGGTTATTATTAAGGTTGGACCTGTTAACACAAGCTGATTGCTGACTGTTTCTGCTTCCTGACAGAACGCTGGTGAGTTGATGTCTGTGGCACACAGCCTTTCCCAGCCAGCAGATTCCTATGTAAATGATGTGAGTATTTGATTTTGGTTCCTTTGTTCTTGAACGGGAATGAATGTTGCAAAACAATGTAGTTCTTGATACAGTCATTAATCCTAAAGAATTGTTATGTCCTCATTCTCAGGCTCACGTTTCTTTGGAGGAATTCAGTTCCTGATTTTTGTCAGCTGTCGGTCTAGCTGCTAAGCATGTTGTGTCAAATTCTGTACTATTTATTCACGCCTCGCATGTGGGGTCACTGCCCATTTCATGGAGCCCTTGAGTGCTGTGTGGTGGTGAGTCACTTTCTCAAGAAGTGGCAGTGTGAATGGGGTTGTTACAAACACAATATTCCAGGACTTGAACCCAGCAACAGTGAAGAGGCAGTGATAGTTGCCTGTCAGGATAGTACATGGTTTGAACGCATAGTGGAAGGTGGTGGTGGTGTTGCCGCCATGTATCTGCTGTCCTTGTCCTTTGAGGTGGTATAGGTTGCAGGTTCGTAAAAAGCTGGGGAAATCGTGGCCTGATGCTGCAGTGTAGCTTGTAGATAGTACACACTGCTGCCATTGTGCATGAGTGGTGGTGGGATGAAGGAAATGTGTGAACTGGTGGGTGCAACAACTCTAATCTTGATCGTGGACAGATGGTGTAGGAGTGAAGGTTTGGAATCACCCTATTCACCAATCTTAATTATCACTTCAATTTGCCAATATTTATCTTCTAATGAAACTTATGAGAAGCAATTATTTAGTCACGATCACAGTCGACACTGTTTTCACACAAACAACAGATTTCAGCAATACTTTATGAACCTGTGTGAGACACCACGGCAGGGAAAGGATTTGTATGAAGTGCAAGTCTTCTATAACTAAGCTGAGACCCAGTTGATCAAACTGTGAACTTCTTACACACAGCCTGATGAATTTCCCCCAATTGACAAGCTCTCTGCTAAAGCAGAAGTTGCCTTATAGTGACGGATAAAAGCTCTACTGTCTAAACGTAACTGTCTAACAGATGTGGTGTAGTTCTCAGTCGAACAGAGATCGAACTGTTTCCAATACAACAACAAAAAGTTGGCTTTGTCACCCAATGTCAGAGTTGCTGATTTTCTTCCCAAAAATATCTTTTGTCTGAATAGATGTGGAGAAGGAACTGGAAGAATGTTCTAGGCATTAGAATTCAAAAGTGTAAATAATTAATGCTGGAAATAGCAGGTTATGGAGCATAGAGTACAGACAGAAATCAAGTTAACAGTTCAGTTTAAAGATCTTTGCTTCAAACTGGTGAAAGGTTACTTAGTTTTTCTCTTTATGTCAGCTTGTTTGCATTTGCAGTATTTTGGACTAAGGAGGTCAAATAACATATGCTCCACAGGAAACATTTTCTCCCAGAGCACAAATAGCATGAGATTCATCACAGTGATGTTTGAAATCTTGCTGATCTTTGTTCTGTGAGCAAAGTTGTTCATCATCACAAAACCAACACCAAGAAAGACAGACAGATTGACAACTGTTGCACAGGCATAAGTAAACAAAAGAGCTGAAAGCCAAGGTTCGGCCCAGGGCTACAGGAGGATGTAGCTCAAGGAAGGCAGATGTACTTGAAAATGAGAATAACATCTTGTGTTTCTCATGTAAAAAGTGTCTTCTCAGGGAGCAAGCTTAGAATGTTTGAACTCAAGCCAATTTTCTTGTAGCTGTGGGACTACGGAATCATAGAACGGTGAGTACCGAAGGTAATCATTTCTGAGAGTAACTGAACAAGTCCCACTCGCCTGCACTTCTTGACGGTCCTCCAGGTGTTTGCCGGTGCACTTCTCTAAAACTAACAATTGAATCAGGCTGCTCAGCCCTCTCAAGAAAAGTATCCAAAATTTCTTTGCACCACTCCGGATTCTTCCAAATAAAATCCACCACAACTCCACTGTGGTTGTTAAAAACCCATTTTGTAAGTTGACAGTGTTTTGCCATAACATTTACGCTTAATGCACCCCTTAATTTAGTGTTACATAATTCTGCCTATTGTTTTTCAGCCAAACCTTGAAATGATGTGGGCTATGAAAGCGTATCAACACGCTGAGATTTATTTCAATGTAAGTACAAATCTTTGCAAATTCTTTAAGGGATGGTTGTTTTTCGTTCATTGCCAGGCATTTGGATGAGGAATCAAAAGTAGAAAATAAAAGGACAAGGTCAAGATGACACAGTGAAATTAGATTTTCAATCGTGCTGGTACAGAAGAGCATTTCATCCATCAGATAAAGTACTCTCACGCACATGAACATGGCATGATGAAATTCAATTTAATGATCAGCTTGCTTTCAAAGCCAAAGCCGAGATCAAATATAGCATTTAAAAAAAAAAAAAACTTTTCATATGCCATTATGCTGACTGGAATTAGCAAGAATCTTTCAACTTACTTGTCAAAAAGGTCCCAGACTCCACAATGTGCTTCCTGCAAGGTTCATGAATGGATTGATCTGATGCGGTGGTACTGAGGCTTTAGAAACCTACCTACTTTGTTAAAAACGTTAAAGTTTGGGAAATTTGACAGTTCAGCAATTGTTTGAAAGGTGGAACCAACATTACTTGGAATAAACCTGGAGTTGCCAGCTGCCGCAATTCCCAGGTCAAGCAAAATGGCATCACTTTTCATTGCCTGACACAAGTTTACCCCAGGTCAGAGCAACACAATCTGGTTGGGTTGAGGTTGGGATTCTCCGGAGTATTTGTAGGGAATTGTGCCGAGTACATGGATAATTGCAGAAAGGTTTGTCTATCACCAAAATCACGGAACTCAGAGAGTGGGTCAATATTATGGCACCCTGAGAAATACTTCAGTATTTGCAGTTGCTCTGTGAAAGTCAGGTTTGGACTCAGGAAAGCTGCCTCTTTCTAGCAGTGATGTTCGGAATGTGAAGGGTGTGTGACAATGTGGTTGTAATAAATAAGGCAGAAGAGATCTATCTGTTTTCCAGGCAGGGTGGTTGTCCACTGTGACTAAAAATCAGGGTATTTTCAGCTTTCTAATGGCAATATTAACAGGTTGTTGAATTGGAATCCATCAAACTCTGGTGTACAGACCCAAGAATTTCAGTATGCAACAGTGATTGTAGAGGAGTCTGGGACATAATGACCATTTAGTGGGAGTGTGGGGCAGTGTTTGTCATTCCAGGGGTTCCCTGCAAGTGTCAATCTTGAAAGGCAATGACCTGAGTGTGGAGAGAGAAGTAAGAGGTCCAAATCTGTGTCATAACTGCAGGTTTTTCATTGAGTGTCTTGATATGAAAACACCTGATCTGATGACAGTGTGAGGTTTATTTCACATTATTGCCATGAATACAAAAACCACTCATTGTGACTCACGGTACACCTGCTTCCTTTCAAAGCTCATTTGTTCAGTTGACCCAAAATTTCTTAAACTGACCAGAGAAGATGATCAAATTTACACTGAGTTCAGGAAGCAGTTCAGGGACTTGAAAATCGACATACTGGATCCAGAAAAGTTAAAGTCAGAAGCGGCCAAACTCGTGAGTTCCTTCATTTATTGTCCTTGTTGCCATGTCATTGGCTGCTCTGGGTTTTTGCACAATTCCACATGCTCAGAAGGAAACCCAGGGCAGGTCTTTCTCTGATCCACTTTCTCTCCTCTTGCAGCAATGGCGCCCATTCTGCCTGCAGTTCGAAACACTGATTGAAGACTTTAACTACGGCACACTGCTGCGGCTGGACTGCTCGAGAGATTACGTGGAGGAAAACACGATATTTGGTGAGGGATGACGGAAGGAGGTGGGGGAAGAGAAGTTGGGGGGAGGGGGGGAGATGAACGGGTCAAGAAAAGCTACGGAATTGCAAAAGAAAAAAAATGCATGAAAATATCGTTTTACGGAACTCTAATGTGGCTTTTCAATTCCCTCTTTCCCCACACAGCTACCAGGATCCAATTCTTTGCCATAGAAATAGCCCGGAATCGGGAGGGCTATAACACCGTGGTGTATGAAAGATCAACAAAAGCGAAGGCTGCTAATGTTGATGACAAGATCATCGAAGTCTCCACTAATCTAGAGGAGCCACTGGACCAGCCAGCAGCGTTAGCAAACACTGCACATTCATAGCAGATTGGAGGAACGCACGGGAATGGCTGCATCTTATTCTGTTGCTTGTCAAGAACGGGGACTGCTCTGGCTCACAGAATTTAATCCAGAGCTCCGTGTTTGAAAGCTTCAGTTCAAAACCAGACACAAGTGCTCTCAGTCCAGTTGGAGGTAACTGGAGAAATACTGAAAACTCAGTTTCTTCTTTAAAACAGTTCTGGGATATGTTGCCGAGTTTACTCAAACAGGGACTGGTAACAGGTACTGGAAAGACAATGTCATCAACTTTGAACTCCTGTCTAACGTCACACACGTAAAGGCATCCCGTGGAATGTAAGAGGCAGATGAACACAAATTGGGCAACACCACACAGCTATTAATATCATTGCACATATTAGAAAAACAAGGACAGAGAAAGATGGGCTGGGAGGGGAGAAAGATGGGCTGGGAGGGCCAGAGAGAAGAGGGGGTAGGTGGGGAAGCAAGTAATGTGAGGGGAGGGGAAAACAGGTAATTGGAGTAGAGGATTCTTTGTATTTACATAATTGCGTTTTGGCAGTGCTTTCCATGCAATCCAAAGATCTCCTAAAATGTAAATACCCAACGAAAGGCAAGCCTGGGGAGAGAGGAGGAGAAGCTGAGAGAAGGTTTAAGAACTGGGGGTTGGGGGTGGGTAATGGTAGAGGGATCAGTAATGGGAATAAAGAACAGCTTGCCCAATCCTTTAGGCAGTAGCTTTTCTTCTGCATACTTGAACCACGGGAGACTCCTTTCTGTACAAACCATGGACAGTTTATTCGCAGTCACAATGCTTACACTAGATGCAGCAAACATTCTTACATACCAACCTACCTGATCACGCAGTGATTCGGAAATGTTTAGTCAGAACATTCAGTGGAAAGGAACAATAAAAATATATAATCCATTGGTTTTCTGTTCCTTGGTGAATATAAACGAGCTGTGCTCAACACATAATTAGCAGCAACAGTATCTGTTACCTCTTCTACAGAAATTCCCTAATCACTAGTGGAACAATTGTTGGAAAAATGATGGGACAATTGGAGTGAAATCCACGAGTTGGTAAGTTTAGTTTCAGTCCTTATTTGTACAGTTTCAGTCCTGATTATACAGAGCTCTGTATCTAACTAAACTCCCACACACATTCCACCCCATCTACCTGACACCAACCAAGTCTCTCAAGATCACACTTCCAACTCTAAAAATTTCAATCACAACTCTTTCGTTTCTCTCTCTCTCTTTTAATTGATTTCATATAAACATTGTTCAAAATGTCTTAAGAAAAAAAATGTACAAGTTTATACAAGGCAGATGAGGGAGCGAGAGCACAAAGGCACTCGCTGTCAGGATTCTGTTTGCTAAAGGGAGGGTCAGTGACAAGTCCTGCAGTCCAATGCCAGGGGAACTGAGAGAGGGGAGGGGAAGTGGGCACTGCCCGTTTACCTGAAACCCCTGCGAGCTGTCCGACTTAACTCTGACCTCAATCCTCCACCACCTCCCCACCCATGTAACATCAATGATGCACATCCCTCTCCCAGTGACCCCTTCCAACCATGTGGGAAGTGAGAGACAGACAGACGTCAGCTCATCATGTCGCTGCTGTTGACACCATATGTCGAATTCTTCATCGAGTCGTTCACTTCCCTCCGAAATACCGAGAGGTTCTGGGTGAATCTGAGAAATGAAAGGAACGGCAAGTTAACACAGACCTCCATCAGCTCCCACGCTCTTCTCAACTTGACGTGGGCTAAAATACTGTCCGAGTATACAAAACAGGTGATAGTCTGAGTAAGTGAAAACTGCCAGCTTCACAGCACATGTCAATGATAAGCCATCTCCCATAAAACAAACAACTCATTTGGTAGTACCCTACTAGAGTACTGCGAGAAAAAATGTGTATCTTTACATAACCATCAAAAAAACAATCCTTTGGAGAATTGACGGTCCATCCTAACTCTGCCTTTGACAAGTTGGCATGTTGGACAGCCTTCTGATGAAGACACAGAAGAAGGCATTGTCCTCATTTTACCAGTGTTGGCTCCCTACAAGAGGTAACCAGTACATCCCACCCTGTTCTTTTTTACAGATGTGACATTCCGTTTCTTGTTTAATCGGGATTCAATTCCCTTTCTCAAGTTATTATTAAATCTATTTCTATGACCTTTTTAGACACTACATTCCAGAATCTTGAACCTTCCCAGTTCATAAAGTGAAGGTACTGTTAACAATGCCAGAACTTCCAGCATTTTGACACTGGGACGATGAAGGGAAGTGGTGAAGTACTTCCAAGTTGGACTGGTTGTCTCTCAGACCGGTGACTGTAGCCTTTACAGACGGTAAAGGTCACAGGTTTGGAAAGTGCTGTCAGAAGAGGCTGGCACTTTGCTGAATGTATTTTGTAGATGATGCACTAATGTAGGAGGGAGTGTATGTTTAAGGCAGTGGCTGCAGTTCAGCCTGTGCTGCATTGATCCAAGTGATACACACACTCTGGGGGTCAGGGGGGTGGGTGGTTGGAGGTTGGAGGCCAATCACTCTCCACAGGAGATTGATTCTTTTAGCTGGAACAGGCAATTGATGCCAAACTCCTGTATTGGTTCTCGGGCAGATTCGTGTGGTCAGGATCAAATATATTGGGACCATTTCAAACTTATTACAAGTAACAGCTTCTGGCCCAAAACACACAGCAGCAGCATGTTTCCCAATATTTACGAAACACAATCAATTATTCAAATCTCTGTTAACCTTTATCTGCAGCTCCAGCTTTCTCAGTCTCTCCCCGTTCACGAAATCTCACGTGCCATTCTGGTAAACCTTTGCATTCTCCTGAATGCTTGACGTGTTCAGCGTGCAACAGACTGAACAATAAAAAGGACCTGATTTAATCAAATTCAACGAGCCTTGGACTGAGAAACTGATTTTCTCTTCATGAATCACCAACTTGGTAAAAAGGGGTCTGCAATTTGACTGAGCACAAACTCCATACAGTTCACAGATTTGAGCACTGTGCGGTCCACATTATCAAAGGCTACCTGTCTCTGTTCTTGGTCAATAGGTTCCGCTCAATTCCTTCCATCAGATTCTCAAAGCAGAGGTGCATGGCTTGTTGCTTCTCTGGAGGCTGGCTGTTCACAATACTGTTTCTCAAGTCAGCAAAATACTGCAGTGGGTTGGGGAGTAGGGAGCAAGAAATAAATTCAAAGCAGGATTAGCTGCAGTGACCCAGTTTACATGTAGAGACGATCCTCTTCTGGGATATATAGTCTTACATATGCTAGCTACCATTTCCCAGTGTGGAGAGAGATTTTAAAGCATAGTGGGGTGCACTCTGTTCTGAAACATAAGCTTGAGAGTTCAATGCCACCTCCATGACTTGAACACGGTAATATAGGCTGATGATACCAGCGCAATACTCAAGGAGCATTGCGCTGATGGGGGAGTTACTTTAAAAGATGAGATTTGAAACACAGATGGGATCAGCCATAATCGAGTCACTGTAAATGGAGAGCTGTTTGACTGCAGTAGGCATTGCTGATGAATGCAGGCAGACCGACCTATAAGCAATCAACAAACAGTGGGGAAGGCCTTTCAATAGCATTGCTGATGGTGGGCCCAGGAAACCAAAGTACATGATACTGCTTGTGCAGCTGACGAATGGCTGCCCCAGTATGGGGCGATTGTGGGGAAATTTCAGACATCAGGTGGGTTTATTCTGACACTGCTCTGTTAAACAACAGTGACACCAGTTGGCCCTCACTCTCTCAGCAGCAAATCAAGCCCAACAGAGCAAACATTTGGTGACATGATCAGCTGACCCTTCACACGCTGTCTGCTTCAATCTGGGTGAAGCTAGTCCAAGTACAGTCACTTCTGAAAGTCTCTGTGAACAGAGATTTGAAAACAGTGACCTCAGTGGGTCACACTCTTGCCTTTGAGTCAAAAGTCCAAAGTGCCAATCCAGGACTTGAATACATCATTTTGATCGATAGTCTCTGTTTAACACAGAGGAAATGCTGCACTGATGGCTAGGACGATGACATTAGATTAAATTAAGACGTTGGCTGCCAGTTCAAGTAGATGTGAAGATCCCACGTGAAGAAAAGGAACATCTTCCATTGTCCTTGTGAGGAATCCAACTGCACAAAGCAATTCCCGGTCCTGGGGAGCATTGCCGAACAAAGAGATCTTGAAGGTGGAGTCACAGAGAGACAGGGTAGTGAGGCGGCATTTGGTACACTTGCCTTTATTGGTCAGTGCATTGAGAAGAGGAGTTGGGAAGTCATGTTGCGGCTGGACAGGACATTGGTGAGGCTACTTTTGGAATACTGCATTCAGTCCTGGTCTCCCTGCTATAGGAAGGATGTTGTTAAACTTGAAAGGGTGCAGAAAGGATTTTCAAGGATGTTCCTGAGTTTGGAGAGTTGGAGCTATAGGGAGGGGCTGAATAAGCTGGGGCTATTTTCGCTGGAGTGTCGGAGGTTGAGGGGTGACCTTGTACAAGTTTATAAAATCATGAGGGGCATGGATAAGATGAATGGACAAGGTCTTTTCCCTGGGGTAGGGGAGTCCAAAACTAGAGGGGCATAGGTTTAAGGTTACAGGGGAAAGATTCAAAAAGGACTGGACAGGCAACTTTCTCACCCAGAGGGTGGTGCATGTGTAGAATGAGCTGCCAGAGGAAGTGGTGGAGGTTGGTACAATTACAACTATTAAGAGACATCTGGATGGGTTGAGGGGGATTTGGGCAAAATGTTGGCAAAAGAGTAGATTAATTTAGGATATCTAGGTGGCATGGACAAGTTGGACTGAAGGGTCTGTTTCCATCTGACTTGACTGCGGATTTGCATGCCAACGTACCACTTCTGAAAGCAATGAGTTGGTTGTGAATTAATTTGGGTCATTCTGACGATGTGAATGACAACAGAAAAGCAAGGTTTATTTTTCCTCCTCTTGTCAAAACTTTTCCAGTGATCAGTGGCCAAGCACCCACAATGCTTGCCCTGCCATCCATTCAATGTATGCATGGGCCTGTCCACATCAAGTGGAGCTGTTCTTGGCACAGGAGTACAGAGACTGTGTGGCCTTCGATCTCACCTTTTCGTTTAGGAGAATTAATCCAAGCAGTGGGCGTGACATGGACCATTGATTTCTGCAGTCTTCAAAAATGATGATGTTCAGAACTGTGGACAGCATCTGTAGCAGAAAACACAATTGCTAACAAGTGGGAAAGGTTTCTGAGACACTGACATTATTTTAGAAGGCAGTCTAAGAAATAATTATGCTCTGGGAATTCATGAAATACTAAGTCATCACGCACCCAATTACAAGCAAACAATCAAAAAGGACAGAAAACCATTCAGATAGCTGTCGACCTGCGCTGACTCCTGAAATCAGCTTTAAACTTTAAAAATGGGTGTAGGCCATTCAGCCCTTCAAGCCTGTTCCTCTGTTCACTATGATCATCATCCAACTCAAAATCTTGTTCCGGTTTTTCACCCATATCCTTTGACCCCTTTGGCCCCAAGTGAGACACCCGACTTTTTGATGAAATTATACAAAGTTCTGGCCCTGATTGCTTTCTGAGGTAGCAAATTCCACAGGCTCCCCACTCTCTCACCTTTCTTTTCATCTCAGTCCTAAACGGTTTACCCCTTATCCTGACAGCCTGGTTCTGGACTCACCCATTCATCAGGAATATCCTTCCTAAAAATACCCTATCTATTCCGGTTTGAAATTTACAGGTTTCTGCAAGATCCCTCCTTCATTCTGTTGAACTCATGAATTTAATCCCAATCCATGCAACCTCACCTCATATGTCAGTCCTGCCATTCCTGGAATCAGCCTGGCAAACCTTCACTGCACTGCCTCCACAGCAAGAGCATCCTTCCTCAGGAAAGGAGACCAAAACTGTACACAATATTTCAAGTGTGGTCTCACTAATGCCCTGTATAATTGCAGGAAAATATCCCTGCTCCTGTACTTCAATCCTTGCATGATAAAGGCCAGCACACAGTTTGCCTTTTTACTGCCTGCTGCACCTGCACACTTACTTTCAGAGACTGGTGCATGAGGGAATCCAGGTCTCATTGCATGTTCCTTCCCTCAATCAACAGCTATTTAGATAACGATGTGCCTTCCTGTTTGGCTGCCAAAGCAGGAGAGCTCACTTTATCCACATGAGACTGCCCCTGCCATGTACTGGCTCACTCACTCAGCCTGTCCAAATCACACTGCAACACAGAATCCCTAGCGCGGAAGCAGGCCATTCAGCCCATGGAGTCCACACCAACCCCCAAAGAACATCCTACCCACACCCACTCCCCATTCCATCCCTGTAACCCTGCATTTTCCACAGCTAATCCACATAGCTGACACATCCCTGTATACTGTGGGCAATTTAGCATGGCCAAGCCAGCTAGCCTGCATATTTTTCAACTGTGGGAGAAATCCTGAGCACCCAGAGGAACGCCACACAGACACCCGAATCTGGAATGGGACACCAGTCCCTGGCACTGTGAGGCAGCAGTGCTAACCACTGAGCCACCCCGCTGCTCTCCCTGCATTCTCCTCACAGCTCACCCTCCCACTGAGATTTGTGTCATCTGCAAATTTAAATATATTACATTGAGTTCACTCATCTAAATTATGACTAGACATTATGAATTGTTGGGATCCTTGCACTGATCCCTGCGGCATCCCACTATTCTCTGCCTGCCGTTCAGAAAATGACCTGTTTATACCTGCTGTATCTTTCCTATCTGCTAACCAATTTTTGATCCACCCCGAGACATTACCCCAATCCCATGTAGTTCCATTTTACCAACAAATCACTTTACGTGGGACTTGGCTGAAATCCTTCTCAAAGTCCAAATAAACCATAGCCACTGGCTCCACATCATCAATTCTGTAAGTTATGTCCTCAAAGAATTCGGGAGATTTGTCAAGTCTGATTTCCCTCTTGTAAATCCATGCTGATTGTGTCTGATACTACCACTGTTTTCCACATACTCAGCCCTTAACTCTTTTACAATACACTAAAGCACTTGCCCACGACCAACATCAGGCTCACTGATAATTCCCAGTTTTTAGTACAGTTGATATTAGCTACCCTTCAATCTGTAGGAACTGTTCCAGAATTGTCAATTTAGTGAAAAGGGAAAAAGAAGCATATGTAAGGTTGAAGACGCTAAAATCAGACAGGGTCCGTCAGGAACATAAAGAAAGCAGGGAAGAACTCAAGCAGGGAATTAGGAGAGCAAGAAAGGGCCATGAAATGACCTTGTAAAGCAGGGTTACAGAGAATTCCAAGATTCTATAGATACTAGGATGACAAGAGAGAAGGTAGAACCACTCAAGGCATCAGTATTCACCCAGGAGAAGTATATGGAGGATGGTGAAATTTGTGTGGAGTATGCTAATATGCTGCGGCATTTTGAGATCAAGGAAGAAGTGGTGTTGGATCTCCTGAAGAACATTAAGGTGGATAAGTCCCCAGGGCCCGAAGGTATCTACTTCAGGTTATTCAGAGAGGTAGGAAGAGATTGCTGGCGCCTTGACCAAAATCTTTGTGTCCTCGCTCGCCACTGGAGAGGTCCCAGAGGGCTGGCGAGTAGCTAATGTTCCTCTGTTCAAAAAGGGAAATACAGATAACACAGGAAACTACAGACCGGTAAGTCTTACATCCGTGTTTGGGAAGCTGTTGGAGAGACTGATCGGGGATAGGATTTACGTGCATTTGGAAAAGCACGGCCTAATTAGGGACAGTCAGCGTGGCTTTGTGCAGGGCAGGTCATGTCTTACTAACTTGATTGAATTTTTCGAGGAGGTGACGAAGGTGATCGACGAGGGTAGAACAGTCGATGTTATTTACATGGATTTTACTAAGGGTCTCGACAAAGTCCCTCATGGTAGGCTCATCCCGAAGATTAAGGTGCATGGGATGGATAGGGTGGACAGGTGATGTCTTTTTCTCAGGGTGGAAATGTCTAATACTCAGGGGCATAGGTTTAACGTGAGATCTGCGAGGCAAGTTTTTTTTTTTTTTTACACACAGGGCGAAAAGTGAAGCCAGGGGACTTGGCAGAAGCAGTTATAATCAAATTTTAGATGCATTCAGGCAGCTACATGAACAGGCAGATGGGATCAGTATAGAATGGAACAAAAGTAGAAATTGCTGGAAAAGCTCAGCAGGCCTGGTAGCATCTGTGGACAGAAATCAGTTAACGTTTTGGGTCAAGTGACCCTTCCTCAAACCTATCAGGATTTTTCTCCACAAATGCTGCCAGACCTGCTGAGCTTTCTAGCAATTTCTATTTTTGTTTGTGATTTACAGCATCCATAGTTCCTTTGGTTTTTATTTAGTTTAGAATGGCATCATGGTTGGTGCAGTCTTGGTGGGTGAAGGGTCTGTTCCTGAGCTGTACTGTTCTAAGTGACAGTGAAGCATTTCGGAAAACATCTAGCAATACCTTGGCCCAAAGGACAGCTTTGAAGGAGTGCCTTGAAGGGGGGTGAAAATGCAGAGTGGTTTAAATAGAGGATTCCAGAATTTAGAGCCTTGCTTTCATCTCCTGAGGCCGTCATTGATGGAGCAATTCGTATCAAAGACCAACAAGAGTGGATACATGCAGGAGCTCTGATATCGCAGAGGGTTTTAGGCTGGAACAGACCACAGATATATGATAGCCATGAGGGAATGGGCAATAGCTCAGTTATGACAGGATCAGAGCTCGACAGATTTTGGAACTCCTGCCAGGGTTTACCTGTTGAATCATTTCAGGATGCTGCTGCATGATGTGTAGGAAGCGGTCACTCTCCTGGGATAATGGTGTTGTTCGTTTCTTTGTGCTACGGGATAGCTGCTTGAAGAGGTATGTTACAATGTGGTCCAGACTTGAGCAGCAACCTGTACACACCATCGTGTCTGAAAACAAACCAACAGGGAAGATTATGAGCTCTCTTCCTTTGGCCTCACGTCTTCCGTGCCAGACTTCCATTTTATACGATCATGGCTGGCACTGCTTGAGTCAACTGAATTGACCTTGTTCCATGTCTTGCATTAACATTCTGCAGTGAAATGGAGTCTATTCTCCAGGCCACAAACACAGGCAATGGCTTGGAAACTATGGGCCACCCAAGCGTCAGGGACCCTTTCTCAAGTCCCAAAGAAAGGAAAGCATGATATTTGGATCTGGCCTGGTGATGGGAGTTGCTGGAAAGATAACATATTTAGACATCAGGCTGCCTCTGGACTGCAGTTCAGAATTTTTTTTGTCGGGGTTTGCTCCCTTAACCCTTCAACTTTTTTAAGATACCCATGAGGCAGTGGAGCTCTTAGCCCAGACTGGGAGTTTGGTTCCCGTGTGTCAGGCTATGTCCTGCACCCTGCATGCCTACCAGCAAACCTCCTCCACGTTCCTCTGAAGCTGTGGCCTACGGTGGTGAGGGACCAGGTTTCGATGTCACTTTGAGAAGGAACAACATAAGACTTGGCAATGAATAGATAATACTGACAGAGAGAAATGTGTACACTTGGCTCTTTGTAGCATGACGCTGCTCGCCAAGGGCCAGCTGTAAATGCGAAGCAAACTAATGTACAAAAGGGTTAACTCTCTTCTTCCACAGACAGAATGCACTCAATCAACTTGGACACAGCACTCACTCCTTCAGGTCCTCCATCCATACAGTCAGCTGTGACTCAGTGCATGAACTCTCTCATTACTGAGACAGGGAGTGCTGTACTTCAGTCCTTCTTCACAAAGTGCAGCACACAATTTAAGTCAATGTCCCCAAGGATTGAGGATGTTACTTTCCAATGTGACATGAGGCATGTCCTGTACCACAACTAAAACAGCAACAGAGCTCTTCCTGATACCTTGGCTAACATTTAGCACTGGAACAACATAACTACAAACAGGTTGTCTATCAGGTCATTAGCATATGGTTCATCAAGGCTTTGTTCTCAGTGATTGACATAGATCTGAATGATTAAGCGATGACAGAAAAATGCTGAAAGCCCCTTCCAACTTTCAGAGCAAACAAGCAAGTTTGCAATGTGAGCACAGGTAGGGTCACATCACCACGGCTTCTATGGCGCATTTACCAGAGATCAGGAGCTGTAAAGGGCACTCTTGGGAAGTCCCAATGTTTAACTTTTACTCAGTCAGTGCCAAATGTTCTGAATAGAAGTGTCCACAGTGAGAGTTGGACAAGAGTGTCCGTCCAAACGGGAACCTAACTACGTTCAGTTCTCACCCACTTGATTTGTAGAGCTTAATGTAAATTCCTGTGACAAAGTTACTAAAGAGAAAAGTTTGATCAGAGCTTCAATTTTTACCATCTGAATGACAAATTACTTACCCAGTGCAGTAAGACCTTCTGAAATGGAGGACAGAATGTACATGATAACATGAGGTTCCAGGCTGGCAATAAAATTCATGTGGTCCTGGGTAAGAACTTCTAACAAGGAATAATAGGACTGACTGAGCTTGGGGTAATCCTGGGGAAGGAAAATGAGAAAACAATGGAACATTAAACCGCAGAGAGCAAAGAGAAGATTTAACACTGGTTGCTACAAAGAGAGAGTCTGGACAGAGCTTAAAACAAGGACAATTGTTGGAACATAGAAAATTGAATAAGTATTTGAAGCTATGGACAAAACAGCAAAGTGAGAAGCCATAACCACCATGAGAACGGAAACACTCAGCAGCGCCACCACAAGTTATTTATTAAACCAAATAATCTAAAAACAAAACTGAAGTTTCCACGACAATTTGAAATTTTCACCATTTCTTCTTTACAAACAGAAAAAAAAAAGACAATGGTAATTCGAAGTTTTGGTCCATGGATTCTCACTTAAATCATTCCAGGCTTCCCACGTGGCAGAAGATGCGTTACTCAATGTGAGGGAGAGTTCTGAGGCACCCAGGTGTGGGGTGGGAGACACAGGACATTTCTCTTTGCGGAGAGAGTAACATTAGTCGAGGGCTTGGTACTACATTGCAACATAAGACAACAACTAAATATGATCATACAAAAAAACCTGACAGATTAAAAAAAAAGCCCGACGATAATTGGCAGATAATCGATTGGGGTGCAGGAATTAGTCATGCAGGCACAAACATAGAGGCCAAGCAGTAACTTCCCCAAACAACCAACAGTCACACAATCATCAGTGACTCTCAATGGGTTTCACTGTGCGACTTGTACTGGCTCCAGACAGGAAACACGTCGGAGCTCTGCACACCGACTGCTCTGCTTCCAACTACGTTTTTTTCAGAGGAATCAATCCCTAAAACACCTGTGCTCTACCTGACGGCAAGGACACTAACCAGAAGGTCACTGTGAGGAATTGATAGGAGGAGTTTAATGAACGTTTGCAAAGCATTGTCAAGGGCATCGTCACCATAGAGACGGAAGACACCAAAGTTGACATAGTTGCCACTCAGAGCTGCTTTCAACATGGAGAAGCAAATGGAAATTCCTTTCAATTTGAGTCCATAAACCTGGTCCTTTGGTACCTCTCCCAAGGTGAGGATACGGTTACCTGTGTGAATAAAACACAAAGATTGCAGTTTTCATAAACCTACATTAAATCCTCAAATATATCATGAGTATCATTACATACAGGAAAAGACAACATTGGTAGTAACACCCTTCATACAGAATGGTCATAATTAATTACTTGCAAAATGGCACACTTATAACCTGCAACGATTCATGCCATTGTTAGAGATGAAAATTTTCAAGTTACAAAGGACAAAATCTAGACAAGATCAAGATGATCAACACTCCCACCCAATGTTACGGTATTTCACTGATGGGTCTACTGTAAAGTTCTTCAGACCTTGCTCAGAGCCTCGTGTGATTTCGAGTGCGTGAGCTTTCAATGCTTCAGAGTTTGGAATTTGAACTTGTGCCATGTGGGTTTTGGTCTACGTGCATGAAGAGATTCAATTATCAACTTGTCTGTCCTTCTTGGAGTCATGATTTTAAACCAGTCAGTGTCAAGAAGCAGCTGACTAGGGTCTCTTCTGGAGTGATTATGGGAATTTGTTTGTGATCTGAGAGTTTTACAATCAGAGGGTGTGAACATTCAAAGGCCATTTGTTTGTTTTGGTTCAGGACGATCAGAAATGAGTTTTTGTTTTGAGAACAACTCAGTGTGGAAAATCTTTTTTGGCTGCTCGCTGAAGACCTGGCTGGGGTTTTAAGTAAGAACAGTTTCTATCAGAGAAATGCGTTTGTTCAGAACAATTAGGAAATCAGTTATGCTCAGTTTCAAGTGTTTTAATTGAACAATTCCTGCCAAGAGGTGTATAATTACAACTGTGGAGCAGTTATTTGAAAGTTTAAGATCAGTCGTGTGAATAATCAATGAAAAGACTGTTAAGCTCTCTTGACCAAGGATCAAAAGAAAGTTACCTCAAGCCGATCGAGGTGATCCAGCACAGAACTCTCTCTGGGATCCAAGTATTGGAAAGTGACAGTATTGGGAATAGGTGGGACTGCATCTTGCTGTGTTTTGAAATCTTTCAAATTACAATAGATGTAAATAGCTTGATGGGTTCTATTTTATCCTCATTTCTATGGCATGATAACTTATGTTTTCTTGTTAAAACCCAATCTGCAGCATTGTGTGCTTATGTTTCAGTGGAAGGCCACCAGACTGAATAAAACAGAAGTCCATCATGCCAGATTTCAGTCTGGGATCTGACTTGTCCAGCAGTAACATCAGGTAGGATCATCACACTTGTGACAAGCCAGGGACACCACATTCAGGGACCCAACATCCAAAATGGTTGTAGAGGATGAATTAATTTATAATCATCCAACTGAATTTGATAGTCAGGTTCCAGAGGCAAGGCAAGAGACAGTGGGCATGAGAGGGTGAGCAATGAGAAGGAAACAGATTTATCAGCAAGGGGAGGAGATATTGAATAGAGCATCATCCTGTGTGACACATGGGGAGAGAGTGCATCGTGGGAACATCACGATTTGTAACCCAGAAGACTATGCTCATGATTTGCGGAAGATCGTGTCAGATGCCATTTCAGCACAGAATTTAAATGCAATCAACTGCTGCATTTAAGTGAAAGCTATTCTCGGTCACAGTAGCCGTGAAAATCTTATCAATTATCGCAATTCAATATCTGCCAGTCCCTCACCAGTCTTAACTACATGAGACTCCAGGCTGACAATGCATTGACTCTTCACTGCAACTCTGAAACAGGCTAGCAAGTTGCTCTGTTGAGATTGGGCAAGGACAACAAACGCTGACCCATGTCCCATCAGAGGAGGGAAAAGATGACACTTTCAAAGTTCTATTGAGTAATTCTCATTCAGCTTGTGTCGAAGCTGAAGCGGGGTACAGAGGTGAGCAAGAGCTAGAGTAGGAAAGCAGGAAAGCTGCTGGAAGACAATCACATTGCACTGAAATGCAGCGAAGCTGAATGACACTGACCGTAAGTTGTAATCATTTTACTCGTCTCGCGAAAAAGGAGGATCCCATTCGGAGAAGACACATCAAACTGCAGCCGCTGTGACCTGCAAACAAGATAGAAGACTAACAGGATCGTGATGTTGCAAACCTGATCATGATGTCAGAAAACAAACACTCCAAGCATGGCATTCGGCTGAAGATGCCGTAAGATCTCACTCCGAGCAATAGAACCCAACTTCAAAAACACAATTTCTTCTGCACCATGACACCGTAGATACTGAAACCTATGTACACATCACTGCAATGCCAGGATAAAAGCTAGTTCCCCGAAATATCACATCGCTGAAAAGGAGAAATCTCACCGATGGTCATGGGAAGAGTCACTACTTTACCTGTTGTGGACCAGTTCAGCCATCAATTTGAGGATGGGCGTTGTGCATGCTGGGTCATGATACCAAAGTTCCACAACACGCTGTAGTATAGGCATGTACGTGGGATAGCTGGGCACAGATAACTAAGGAAATTAGGTCAACTATTAAAATAATTTGCGATCGTTAAAAGACCTCACAAACTTCAAGGGAGGGGGAACAGGCTTCATTAGACTGATTGAAGCTCCATTTCTAAGCTCTAAAAGCACCTATTAATTCTCTCTAACTTCACAGAGTACTTCACTCTGAAGTACTGTTCAGATACAGCCATTGATTTGGTGACAGACAGGCAAGCCATTTTTGCACAGCAAGATCTCACAGACAGGAACCAAGAGTCATTTCATAGCACTGACCTCGATGCACGCTCGAATATAAAGATGGTAATAGAATGATCAGCAATATTGCTTGAGGGAGTAATCTTGCCCATGACACCGAAAATCCTCAGAACGGTACAGCAACTTGAACACTTTCCGACAGGCAAACAAGACCTTCACATTTTATCCACAGCCCCCTCTCTCAGCACACAACTCCACAGCAGAGCTGTCCCTCAGTGTCTATCTCTGACAGCGCACTACTTCCTCAGACTGACCAAAAACGTCTGCCTCAATTATGAATTCAAATTCCAGGACCATTTGATTCAGAGATTAATCCAAATTTCAGTCAATTTCACAGACCTGGAACAGCACAGAGTTTCTTGTGATTATCCTGCTGCAAGAACATTCTTGGAAAGCTCGTGCTTCTGCTCTAAAGTTACCAAGATTGGTAAAATGGTATGCGTGTGGCAGAGCCAAGCGTTACCTGGTCTGTGGGAAATTTAGCAAAATGAGTAGCTAACTCTTTCTGACTTTAAACGTTTGACATAGCAGAAATTCTTACCGTCACTATTGGTTGCAAATATTGAAAGTTCTCATTTATGCTTTTTGATATTTCAATGCATTTGCAGTGGTGTCCTCTGCTTGTCCCAGGAGACAATGGTCACTGACCATGGTATATGTTACTTGTGTATCGAGCATCTTCTGTTGTGGTTGTACAGGCCAACCCGGAGTGACAGTCCCTCCTGTAACTGTCACCTAAGTACAGTGTTGGTCTGATACATTTCTTTGCACCAGGCTCTCTTTTACACCATTTGTGGAAATGCTGTATTTGACCAACTCATTTTCAGGCTTGTCTCTCTGATTTGCTGAAGCCATTTTGACTCCCATCAGCAGGCAAAAAATAAAGTGCGAGCACTTGTTCATGTTTGTGGCTGGATCTGCTGAGACGCTTGATTCACAGTGACCCACTTGCACTCTCAAAGTATCAGGAGCCCTCGGTGAATGAATGCGAGCCAGCTGCCTGCCACTGAAACGAGGCTGTCACTGTTTTCCAGGGTTCACCAGTTTTCGTTTTAACAAATTGTGCACCCTGCACAAGTTTAATGTCGGTGAAAAGCTAGCCATCAACACGACAACAGCATGAAGGCACTGAAATGATAAAGGTGTCTTCAGCAACGAATGAAGCTGTTTTCTCAATTTCTCTCTTCGCTGAGTCAACAATAATTCTTGACTGAGGGCCCAAGGCAGCGCAAAGGGACCACAAAGTCTTCTCTAAACCATCCAGTCCATAAACTATGCACTGTGTTTTCAACTTTGCTACACTATGTTCATCTCCAACATGAATTCGGGAGATCACACAAACAATTGAAATCAAACCAGTGGGTCGCGGGCAAGATTTCTCAAGTCTCGACCTCATGCTGTCCTTTATTCACACAGCACAATAGCCAGGCAACATGATGTGGATTCTCAGCAATAGGTAACATGCCTGACTCTAAACAACGGTACAAAACTGTCAAAGTAGCACTCAAGCTAGGAACTGAAACTGAGGTGCTCCTTTTCCAGTGATGTTAAGTCACAGACTTGGCGGTTTTTGACTCCAAACACAAAAAGGATACATCCAGTCAAACAGCATCATAAAGCTGGTCTTAGCATTAAAGGCAAAGGCAATTCCCCTCAGATCTCTCACGAGGCCAACGAGCGTTCGCTGCAAGCAAACAAACATCAATGATTATCATTAGACAAACACACGTGCAGCCCCAAGTCCCTCAATTCCCTTACAGATCTGGCATTCTGGCTGAGATAGACAGAAAGGGTTACAGGGGACAGGCAGCAAACTGGGGGCAAGGCCTCAAATAGATCAGCATGATCTTGGTGAAAGGTGCAGCAGGCTTGAGGGACCGAATAGCCAATTCCTGTTCCCATTTCTTTGAATCATCAGACAGGTTGCTGTAAGCTGAGGTACACTGCTGCCCGTGACAAGGGCCTCAGCCCTTGAATGTGACTGCTAAATAAGAACATGTCTTTTACTGCACAAACAAAGTATTTGAATCAAATCAAATGCAGCAGAGAAAACTGCCCTACACCTGCATGGCCTTTCCACATGGGGGGCATTTATCAACAGCTTTAACACTGTGCACAGAAATGTCACAAGGCACATCTGTTCTAAACTGCACACCAGAAATTACACTCCCCAGTTTGGATTTCAACTCACAGCAAGCTCCTCTGTGAAAATTACAGCCATTTCAACTGGACGTACAGCTCTCACTGTTGAGTCAAGCCACAATGCCTAACATAAAACAATTATAAAATTGGGAATACAGAAAAGCAGGGTAACAGAGTTTTTTGTGTGAAAGGATGGCAGGTCAAAGAGGCTAAGTGGAGTGAATATCCTGCAGTATGTGTGAAATCATGGACAGACTGTGTTTCAGCCGAATACATGTGCAGAAGTGTCAGCGCCGACACAAGCTTGAGCTCCACGTTTTGGAACTTAAGCAGTGGCTGGAATCCCTGTAGTGCATCCATGTGGCACCAGATGATGTCAATAGCACATACAGGTGGTTACATTGCTGATTAGAAGTGTACGTGGAGAGGGTGACTTCCAAGCAGCCTAACAAAACCAGGCAGGTCATACAGTTGTCCTGAGGCTACTGCGCTTGTTTATTAGAATTCATTGTGGAAAATGCAGAGGGTGATGGCTCTTCAGGGGAACGCAGTCTGTGGCATGAAACATGTCTCAGCTGTCCTGCTGAAACCTCAGATTGGAAGTGCTGCACGTGGAAGTTGAGTGAACTGAAAAACAGCAAATGGCAGCAGATACTGTTTGGAGTTACTTAAATGCCACCCAACAGAAATCGTGTGGGACATAGTACGAGTTAAGAGAAGCTTGTGTCATGGACCACAGTTATCATGGTGACTTCAACTGAATATTACACTGGGTAAAGCAACTGAGCATGAACGCTGTGGGGAATGAGTTGATGCAGTATCACAGGAATGGTTTTCACAGGCAATATGCTGAGGAGCCAATGAGAGGACGTGCTATTTTTGATCTCGTATCATGTAATGGAAAAGGGCTAATTAATAATATTTTGGGGTAATTGACCAAAAGCAGAATCAGGAGAACTCATCATGGGGAATCACAAATTGGCGAACAAGCTAAAGGATAGCTTTGCGTCTGTTTTCATTGATGAGGACAAATAAAATCTCGCAGAATTAAACATCCAAGTAACTGAAGAGTTAAAGAGAATTAGTAACTGTAATAAGGCTATACTGGAGAAACTCATGGGGCTGCATGTTGGTAAATCCCCAGGACCTAAACGTGGGATAGGCAGTGATGTACTGGTATGGATTAATGACTAACAGATAGAAAACAGACAGACTGTCAGAACAGATGAGTCTTTCTGGCACTGGCACACTGGGTCTTGCAGGGTACCACCAGGATTAGTACTTGGGCCCCAGTTGTTTATAGGATATAACAAAGACTTGAGATGGGGACCGAATGTAGTATTTCCAAATTTGCAGATGATGCAAAGCCAAGTGGGAATGTGCGCTGTGGCAAGATGTAAAGTGACCTCAGGAGAGTTTGGGCAGGTCTAGTGAGTGTGCATGAAGATAGCAGATGGAACGTAGAAAAATGTGGCATTCCCCACTTTGGTACAAAGAACTGATGGGCACAGTATTTCTTGATCGTGAGATGCTGGCAAGTGTAGATGTTGGGACGAGGTGTTCTTGTCGATAGGTCACCGAAGGTTAACAAGTAATAACAGCAAGTTATTAGCAAGCCTCCTGGAATGCTGACTTCTATTCTAAGACGATTTGAGGACAGGAATAGTGAGGTTTTGCTTCAATTGGATAAGAGTTAAACCTGGAGTAGTCTGTGTAGTTTTGGTCTCCTTACCTCAGGGAAAATACTATTGCAACTGAGGTAGTAAACAAAGGTTCACCAGACTTGTTCCCCAGATGGAACTGGCCTGTGGAGAGAGACAGGGAAAACTGGGCCTGTATTCTCTAGAGTTTCAAAGAATGAGAGGTGATTAGGTCAACACTATCTGACAAAGGGGCAGCACTCCAAAAGCTTGTGATTTCAAACAGACCTGTTGTACTACAATCTGGTGTTGTGTAACTTCTGATTTAGGACTGAGGTGAGGAGAGATAATTTCAGAGGGAGGTGCATCTTCGAAATTCTCTACGAGGGGGCTGTGGGAAGTTCCGTCTTTGACTATGTTCAAAGTCAAGATTGTAAGATTTCTGATCACCAATGGCGGACAGGGTTATGAGGATAATCCAAGGACTGAACTGTTCGATCTCTCATGATTGTACGAAACAGCAGAGCAGGGTCGGCAGCTTGAATCATCCGCTAACACCGTTAACAATGTTTCTATAAAGATGTTCATGAGAAATTGCTTTACAAATCAATCAAGATCAAAGCTACAGAACCAAGTTGCTCTCAGTTTAGTTTTGCAAATATAATACAGTTTAGCTTAAAATCCTGCAGCTGCAATTGAGGGAATGAGGAAAGTTGCACCTTAGCGTCTTGCTCATTGAACGTGTTGGAATTAAACATCTGTGCCACTGTTTCAAATGCTGCTGTTAAAGGGAGCATGAACTGCTCAAACTGGTCTTCGTCCTCACCTGTAGGATTCAACAAAGCATCTGATGAGTTACTCGCAAGACTCTTTTTCAAACACCAACATTCTCATATTTTTCCTGAATCATCAATTCCTGGTCAGTTGCTCATTGGTATCGGCCTCAAGTGGCTGATGTTGGTAAGCCCACACAAATGGGTCTTCAACTGGAACTGAGCCAGATCCTGCGTGCACCCAGAATATAAGCATACATAGACGCACTTCCAGCAGCACCCCTAGTGAACTTGTGCTGATCTAAAGCTTGTCCTGTTTTCCCCACTGTACATCAGTTGATTCTTCTGGTGAAGTAATCCAACTGAAAAAACACTATTCTATAGTGTCCTCTGGCTCTCAGCAATTTTTTCCCCTCATTTTCAAACTGTGCCCATTGTATCTTCCAATCCTAACAGCAATTTGTTCAGAAACTTAAACTTAATGTTCAAATTCTCCAACCTCCAAAAGAGTGAATGACCTCTTGTCTCCATTGCTCTGTTTGTTCAGATTTGGCAGCTCCTGCCCAGTTCCCTGTGCTTTTCCACCATTCTCTCCTCATTCAAAAACCTCCTTGAAATCCTTGTCATTCAATTGCACTCTCCGCCTCTCCAAGTCTCCTTCTACAATCCCAGCTGAGACATCACATTCAGAGCGTGAGTGTAATCAGAATCAGGGCAGTCAAGTCCCGACTCTGACAAACACTCCCAGGTAACCGCTGAGAGCCCTACAATTTACCTTGTGTGAGGTGCTCTGATGTCTTCTCCATGTGTGGAGCTGTGGAACTGCCAGCTGCAGTAGATATCAGAAAGTGTTATACACACTGGTTACAGAAAATCACCGTCATTTTTACGGCACTAGTTGGTTTTGAGAACATGGAACTTTTATCTTCAGTCAGCTAGAAAATTATCTACTCTGGATGTTCAGCCATGTTCCGCCAATGTTTAAAATGATAACTGTTTGTGCAGATTGACAGTCAAGGATAATTCATCCCTCTGACATTTGCAGCTCTTGCATACCTAGATCAACCATAAGCAAGCGTCCAAGTGCTGTGTAGAAGGTGGTGCGGCAACGCATGTCACTCAGGTTTGATTGGTTATTGATGCCCAGGAACGAGAAGTGTTCGCTCTGTCAATTCAAGGTGCAACACAAAAGATTACTCACTGGTCTTACTGACATTAAAAATAAACAATATACAGCATCAAAACCACTGTCACACTCCATTTTATGACCATCAAAACCTTCACTCCAAAATGAAATCCAGAGGTTTGTGATTGATTCAGATTTTAACAGGAATTAACCTGAACTGATTATTTCTAATGAGAACCAAGTTGGGAAAGTGACACCACCAACAAAGTAGAATCAATGTACCCACTTGGATTGAGACCATTCCAAACTTCATCAAGGGAGAAGGCACTAAGTGAAGGGCCAAGAACAAAATGAGAGTGATATATGGGGTACTTACTGTGTGATTGTTCAGCATGAACTGAACAGCAGTGAGTTTCACCAGCTTCCTCACACTGCTGTATGTACAGAAAAACAGTCAAGGATAATAAACTACTTTTGATATCAGAACTGCACTCACTTCTTAATTTGTTTCGTTCCCTTCCCTTCTATTCCAAAATCCATGTTGAAAAAGTCTTTCCTTTGGCAGCTGGAAGCGATATGAGGCAGCATCAGGAAGAACTCCATTCACTAATTCCCTTCCTTTCGGGGTGGAAATGCCTCCTAGAAACTGTACAGCACCTGCTGAACTCACTTATAACAATCCATTTTACATTGGCTTTCCAACATAACCCAACACAACACAATGAATCTGGGTGTATTTAAAACTGGTCAGAGCAAAGGATATGGCTGTCTGGATGTCACTATCCATCATTTTGTCATAAAGAGTCACAATGATCTCTACTGAACACGGGTTTATGTACAGGCACTAAAATTTTACACCAGCGACTGACGATGCTGGTGTTCAATGCTAAGGCAAATAACTCAACTGGCAAAACAATACTCAAAACTATTTTCCTGACATGGTTTGCAATCTGCATTCGGTGATTCTACTCCTGGAACTTGGTGTTAAACATGGACCGTGTGCACCATCGCCTTGCTCCATCCTTGCCCTCCAATGCTTCTTGTTCTTGTGGATCTCCATTATGACTGGTGTAAATGGGGCTCTTCAGATAACCCCAATTCGCAAAGCCTTACCTGCAGCCTGACTGTGTTGAAATTAAAACACACCTGACAGTATTTACCACGTCAAAATATCTGAGCACGTTCTTACTAGACTTTGTCCGTCCTGATTTTGTACCGAGATGTGGCGCCACATCCAGCCTATAGTCCTGATTTGTCCCTTCAGTAACCTTAAGACAATGCAGTTGGACTTGACCCTTCACCTTTGGATCCGATAAGCCAGTAATCCTGTTTAAGTGACCTATTTTGTTTTGTAAATGAAAGGATATCCAATAGAGAGATCATTCAGCAGCTGAAGCGTCTTTGAAGTTATTGGTTCGCACCTTCCCCAGAACTTCAGGTTGGTAATTCTGGTTGGAGATCAGAGGTACATTGTTAATCATCAAGAACAAAAACAAACTTTCAACAATATTTTCTCAAATTTCAAACAGAGGCACTAATAGATCAGTGTATTCACTCCAACGATTTTTAACTCAATAGAAGAATCCAAGTGAAATTCTGAGCACAGCACACATGGAAGTTAACCAACTGATTTTACAGTCAGGCTTTACTATGTTGCACTGTCAAAATGAAAGGAATTATAGCAACTGGAAGTCAGTGCTTCATGTCTACAAAGTGTGTTCAATCTACATTTTGATTTGATTTATTATTGTCACATGTACAGAGATACAGTGAAAAATATTGTTTTACATGCAGATCATACCATACAAAGTGCACACGGGTAATGGAACAGAACGACGAAAACAATGTTACAGCTGCACTGAAGGTGCTCAAACAGCGAGGTGAACATGAAATTTGAGAGGTCCATTCAAAAGTATAATAAAAGCAGAGAAGAAGCAGTTCTTGAACCTATTGGTATGTTTGTTTAAGCTTTTGTATCTTCTCGCTTATGGAAGGGTTGAAAGATATTATAAGTGAGGTGGGAGGGGTCTTGGATGATGTTGGCTGCCTTACCGAGGCAGTGAGAAGAACGGGTGCAGTCAATGGATGGGAGGGTTGGCTTGTGTGAAGGACTGAGCTGTGTTCACAACAGTCTGCATTGAGTGGGGCTGACCGAGTTACATTCAATGCTTCTCAAATAAACCACCTCTGTACATCTCGGACAAACTCACACTTAACTTGCAGACACAGTCTCTGCTCCTTTCTCAAGATGGGAGTGGGTTCCATGTGAAATGTGCTGCGTTTGTTTTTTTTTAAGTGGCATAATGACTTAGTCATTCGTAGCTGATAGGGCACATGACATGTAACTTATGACCTGGGCGCTTACCATGGAACCCAGCGGGTTGTGCTAAGCCAGGGGAACGATTAACCTCAATCCCTGACAAGCTGGATTTCTCACTCTGACAGATATTACTGTCCCCTTGATTTCAGTACTAGATAAAATTAGAACAAGTGGCCAACTATGGCCATGATCCCTTGAACTCAGGAATGTGCCATCTTGGCAATGCTGACAGATCCTGCTACTGGGATGTAGGATTTTGCCATGAATTAAGCCACAGCACTAAAATCAGCCACTTTGTCAACTTTCAGAAACTTGAAACAAGAAATAAAAAATCCAAGTGCCAACACAGTCGAGCTGCCCGAGCTTCGAACTCGAAGCCACGAGCTCAAAAATGTGAAGCGCAGAATTTATCGAGTTTTAATTGGCCACAAGAGGTTAGCAGAAGTCCACAAGCAAGCTGATGCATCTGTGACAGGCCACGATGAAAAAGCAGGTTCTGTACGGACATTGGACCAAGGTCAAATCCCTGGAATACTGTCCAAAACAGGCTGGAGGAAGCTCAGTTAAGACTGAAAACCTGAAGGTCTGAAGTCAAAGAAGTGCACAAACTTTCAGAGATAGACAAATTTATGAATGCTGCTTCCAACTCAAATTGTCATACGATTCCCAGCCAGCAACATCAACTTGAATGGGCAAAGTTTTGGGAATTAGAGTTTCTGTGCTCAAGTATTAAATTTGAATAGGACTAAGTGGAGCCAGTTCAGCATCATGTTCACTTCATTCTCTTTCAGTTGACAGTACAACTCTTCCCTTGATCAAGGGAGAAACTAGAAATGGGTGTTCAGTTTTCCACTGTGCGTGAAAGACAGCCTTTCCTTCTCTGCCCAATTGAATTGTGTTCCACAGAAGATGCTGAGGAAAGGACAAAGGGTGGGTTCATGTATCAGGTGAACTGAGTGTCTGTTTAAGAGGCATCGCCCAGAACATGAATTCATCTTTCAGACTGTGGATTCCCTGGGACTTGTTTCTATTTTTCTTCATCGCACCTTGGCTTTTCAGAAAACATCTGGGAATGTTCAACATGCGTCCAGGTACAGATTCCGACTAAATGGAAGGTTTTGTGGTTCCCAAAGCACAGGCTTAACCTTCCTCACATCAGAGGTCAATTTAAGTTCACTTACACCTCCTACCTCAGTGTTAGTAATGTGCATGAGCAACTGCTTGGAGGGTTGAGGGGGAATTGAACTGATTTATCTATTTTCTACAGGAATCGAGGGACCTGACAAACTCAAATCATACGACAATCAAGAACTGAAATGCCAAACATATGACCACAGCATGCTGTTGAACCAACAGGTCATCCAAATGGCAGAGGACCCTGTTTGCATACACTCACATTTTTCCAATGAAAACACTCAGGACCATTGTCTCATCATTGAGCCCCAGGACCTCAGACAGTCTGCGGTACAACTGCACAGAGAGGGGAAAAAAGCATAAACCATCATTAGAAAACAGACAGAAACCATTGGGACAGCCAAATCAATCAGTTTTAATGATGTTGAGTGAGGGATAAAAGTTGACCAAGATACAGAGAATCCCCTACTTTTGCATTTTTCAGTTCAACAGTCAGACAAGACCTCCTGGGCATATCTCAATGTGAGATGGGAATCTTTACAGTAAAGCACTCCTTCTGTACTGTACTCAAGCTTCATGTGCTCAAATTTCTGAATCAAGCCATGAACCAGGAACATCAGCAGAAGTGCGAATGTCACCAACTGAGCCAAGGTAACAGTCAGAACGAAGCCAAGTACAAAGAATAACCTCACATTACACGTACCTTTAATCTTTGACAAAACAGGCTAAGCTGCTCATAAACATGAACCTTCTTAATATTACTGAGAGTAGCAACAGCAGAACAAAAAAATGTCAACAGTGATAGTGTCCTCAAAAATGTACCTTAACCACAAACTAAATTCTTGATGCAAATCTGGTCTGCATCTATATCTGTTTCATTAACGAACGATTAAACAGAATGGTGTTTATATTAATGAAAGCTCGACAAAGATTTACATTTTTGTTGGCATTAATCAGTCTTGCAAATGTTCTACAGCACTGAATGCTGTTTGAAAGTACAATGGTGATTAAGTTCGCACGAGGCACAAGATCCTACGAACAATGACAAAATGAATCAACATTTCCATCTGTTTGCACCAAGGCAGTTGCTCCTACTTACGTCACACACAATACTCCATGGGTAAACACCTCAGCCCGCAGCACCACAAGGTCCCCAATATCAGTCCTAGGCCTGTGTAGTCATTGGTAATGTTTAACCAGGCTGGCACAGAGGGTACTAGAGCTAACTATGTGCCCTTGACTGACTAAGGGGTGGAGTGGGGAGGTGGGAGATCCAGATGGGACGAGTTCCTGCTCCTTATTACCACTTAGGGACCTCTTGCCATCTGCTGGAACTGTATGTCTGCTGATGGTGGTTGAGAAAACAGCTCCAATTCGACAGTGAAACTGCTCTTTCCCCCTGCCAAGCTACCTAATTGCCAAGAGTTAGTGTCAACATGATGCATGAATAGCTCAGTTACTGTCACATCTCCAAGTGAAACCTCTGATGGTTACACATCCCACTGCTGGGTTCAAGCTTCAAATCGAAGATGCAGCAACTGTTTATGACAGTAAAGCCAATGCAAGTCACACTGCATTCGGGTTTACAGTGGAAAGCTGCTCGTATGTAAATACTATGAAAACCCGAGTGATCGTAACCTGAAAAAATACAGGAATCCACTGTCTGCTGAACTGGTTATTGGATCCTGGTTACGTCTTTACACACACAACTTCTACCTTCTGTAGCAATCTCAGGTAATAGCATCACCTCGTCAACATAATCAAGCTTCAAAGCATACTGTTGATCACAGAGGAAGTGCTATATTGACCAGAGGAAGCCCTGCTGAATTAAATGAGAAACCTAAATTGCATCTAACTTCACAGAATGACACTAAAGATATAGCTGCATTCCTGGTTCAGGAACAGGAAGCTTTCTGAATTATGTACAACATAATTCCCACAGTTAACACTGTTGACAAAAGGAATATACATACATTATTCATGAGACCTGGCTTTCTTGGGATGTTGCTAAGCGCAGAACAGCTGTTCAATTAGTTTTCGTACCATGAGTTACTGCATTTACGAGTAATTTAAATTGGTTTTGTATGTTTATAAGAGATGACCAAGGTACAGTCAACTTCTCTTTCTTTATGGTCAATCAGTTAACACAAATCATGGTTTTATTTCAATTTGATGTCACACCAACTGAATCAGCACGTGTTACCATGCTGTTATTCTGCAGCAAAAGGTAATTGTAGCCAATTTTGTTTTCAAAATGCCAACGGAAAAGCAACGTAAGAGCAGATAAAGCAGGAAGGGACTTATTAACTTCAACTCTTTCTCTTCTTACCTTGGAGGACTTTTGAACCTGATCTCCGATGTAAATCTTGCGAAACTGCTCAAAGAAACTCAGCATTGCCAGTTCCAGCTTCTCGTTGCCTGCTTGAGCCAGTCGAGAATCAGTCAGGTTCATCAGCTGTAAAACGCTGAAAAGAAACACAGGAATATCTGGTCAAATCTCTCCAGGACACACTGCAGACAGTAATATGCAGGGAGAGGATATGGAGAACTCATTCATCACTGTCAAGATAATCATATTGCCAGCTTCAAACTCTTCAGTACACCTACCCACCGTCCACATCACACAAAGTACAAGTGTCTCCAGGCGACAGGATAAGAAGTGACATAGCAGGTGAGGGCCAAAATAAACCCCACATTACAATGCCATTTACAAATTTAATCAGAAACCTGACTGGAGAAGTTACTGAAGATCACTTGACCAACCAATCAACAAGCAGAAGGCAGCGATGCGGAGACAACATGGCAAATAGATTTTCAGCGACAGCACAAATTCCTGATTTCTCTGCCTGAAAAAATATCTCCTCTACTATTAGTCGGATCTTTTTCCCAGACCTTGGCAGCTTTCGCTATGAATCTAGGTGAAGAACTGGATAAGACAAAACCAAATGTCACTTGGAAACAGAAGGCACTCAGAGCTGCAATTTTTCACACTGTATTGCTTCCCATGTGAGTTACATGTTGTACAATCATCCCTCAGCTGCTTTGCTCTAACCTCCTGAGATAACTGGAGCTGACTGTGTTGAAGTAGTGTAGGTGCAATCTCCACATCCGCGCAACCAGGCAGTCAGGATGACAGGAGAAAGGCAATTAGGGACTCACCGACAAACAAGTTCGCCATCCATGGAATCCTGTTCATCTGTACTCGCAAAGGAAACTCGGCCCCCAATCACTGCCCCAATAATGTACACTTGCCATGTCAATCGACCTGGGGGGGGGGAAAGCATGGAAATTAATGAGCTCATCAGGCATCACTCTCAAACAGTGGATTGTATGGACTGTTCATTGTCTCTGTACGGACCTTTTCAATATGACTCTGAATTCTCTGGAACTATCAAATAGTGAACATCTCAATACGCAAGGTGATGGAATGAGGAAGCACTTCAGAAACAGGTTCCACACAGCTACCTAGCAGCTAGACCTTGCAAATTCACTGTTATGGTTGACACAGAATTGAATCTTTCAACAGAGCTATTTATAGATGAGACAAATGTTGGCAGGAAAGAACAATCAAAACTCATGACAAAAAGAATCAAGGTTTGCACATGCTTTACAAAAGCTTCGAGATAATGTACAAAGATACATGAAGTGGAGCAGCCAACTGAAATTATACTGGACTTTCAATCATCAGACGTAGCAAACTCTGAGCCCAAGCCTTCATACAGACAACAAATACCGCTTGTCCCTCAGACACCTCTCTTGCTGCTCTCAATTCTCCACTTACCTTCCTGCACAGCTATGTCGATGGCGCTGGCATTTGCACTCTGCAGTAACTCCTGGTACGTCTGAGCCGACTGATCAAAGAGCTGCACCAAGAGAGCACATGTCTTCTCATATTCACAGCGGCCAATAGTGGACAGTTGGTCCAGCTGTTGCTGAACTAGACCAGTGTCATCAAGAGGATCTTCCAAACCATCCCTAGAGATAACAAACATCTGCTTCAAGTCTAGCTCCACGCAATCCACCTTCTCGCTATGAGATGTTATCAAAGCACATCAATCCCCAATCGGCTCAAAGTGAAACATTGCTGATAGCTTATTTATACAGCATAATTCTTGTTTCCTGATCCCAGTGTGAGCTTTGTTTCTGCAGGATCAGATTAACCCAACATACGAGTGTCATCATACCTCAGAATGATGTGGATTGATTCGAGTCTGGAGGTGATGTAAGCTTTAGTGACTTCCGGTGTATATGTTTCCAGCATGTGCGGTTCTGTGGCTTTGACATAAGGTACAGAAGCAGCCAAACGTTGCCACAAGCTCAGCAGGTAGTGTACACTGTTAGGGGCAAACTCCCAGTGCTGTAGGGAAGATGGAACAAACAAGGCAACCATGAAAAGACATAAATTTTATAGCTGCTGAAAGATGAAACTAATGCTGTTTACAAATCTGATAGGTTGAACAATGTTTCAAAAGGGAAGGATAAGCATGTGGGAAAATCAGTCTGACTGCCAGTCAATATAAAGCTTCATAAACAGCAAACAAAAGACAGAATTAGCCAAATGCTGCATCTCAAGTTCTCATTAGCTTTTCTAGCAGCCTCTTCAACTGTCTCTGTTCCTTTCTGAAAACTGCATTTTTCGTGCAGCGTCACTGCAGACTCGAACTGCAAAATCTGACATCATCCCGGCACCAGATGCCAAATCCAAAAACGTTGCCAACAGCGGACCCATCTGTGCATTCTGCCGAGAGTACACCCGTTGTCAGCTCGTTGTACTGGCTGGCTGTAGACTCAAGACAAAGTTCCCCGAGGTCCTGACCAGCAAACCCCCAAAATCCATGACAAACACACGCAAAGATGCCACTCTATTCAAGCCTGAATCTAGCGTCAGTCACCTGCTCTTATTCCAATTAACAATTTCAATTCCTTCCATTCCTACCTGAAGACTGGTTACTGTGAAGTTAGCAACCAGCCGGATGACTTCAGGATAGTTTTCCACTTTCACCAGCTCTCCCAGCTGGTAGTTACTCTTTAACCGAGCCAATAACCTGCAGAACTCATGGTAGTTGTTCGGATCAGACAACCCCTGCAAAAGGAAAGTTTGTTTTTCACGTTTCTGACAGCAAAAGGTGAAAACATCAGTAAGACGAGATGGTCTAACCGTTTGGTAATAGCTCACCCACGTACATCAGGTTGAAAACAATTAAGCCAGAATTTGCATTTGTGCGCTAATAATGCAGAAAAAGTACCCAGGAGCACGAGTACTGACATCATGATACAGGGACTGTATTTTGATTCCACCCGCACATCCCAACCCCTTATGATTCTTGGACTGTCTTGTTAATCGCTTCTCCTACCCTGTGATCTGCTGTCACAGCATCTCCTGCTTGTCCGTCTTGCACCATCCTCTCACGCTGACCATCACTCTTCTGTAACCTCTTAGTGACATCCATTGCCCAACTCCGTCCGAATCCACCCTCCTTCTGCTGCCCTCCCCTTGGGCTTCATCAGCTTTGATCAAACGGCCAACATATTGACATTGTCTTTCCCGGGTGCCACTTCCACAAACCCTGTTTGCTTTAGCAATTTTGAAGACCTTTTCATTCATCTTGTGCTGTATCTATGGAATTTTAAGCATGTGTCTTACATCCACATTTCACAAGCTTCTCTTTCTGCTAGCACCACTTGTTTTGGACTACAGACTTAACAGTGGAAAAACATCAGCCTTCAAAGCAAAGGACAATGGAAAATGATGCTGCAGTTTTAAACCAAAATGCTACTATACCTACAACATTGCCTTATGCAAACAGTGGGATACAATGCTACATTTCTTGATTCATGAATGTGAGTTCAGGCAGGGCGGTTTTGTTCAGTGACAGATATCTGATTAATTTTTATTAACCAGGAGTGTATGCACACGTGTGTGTGTTCATTCAGAAGTATTCAGCAGAATGATGAACTGTTCATTGGTTTCCAGGTGAGAGGCTACAGCTGTGATTGGACAATACATCCAGCCTGTGAAGGAATAAGCACTTCTTTCTCTCTCCCTTTTATGAGAGTAAAAGAAAATCCCAAGCAGTTAGTTTGTCTCTCTCTCCCTGCAAATACTGTCATGAAAGGAAAAAGGAAAAAAATACCTTTTGAGACACTGAAAGACAGAAAGCTCAGTGAAAGGATGAAAATCAGCATGACCACAACATCATGTTCTTCTCAAAAAGTCAAAAAGGATCAGAAGGGAACTGAAGGAAAACATCGCAACTGGGAATTGACACTGTAATCCAGACTGGTGCCAGAACTGTGTTTCAATGACTTTTCTACCTTGCTCTTTCCCACCAGTAATATTTATGTCTTCCCAAGGGGTAGTATTTAATGTATCAGGAATTGTAAGCGAATAATTTGTTTCTTCTCTGCTATCAGTTGAAAACATTTTGTTTACAATAAATAGCTGTTTTCTTGTGGGTACAGAAAACTGTTGATTGTTTTCTTTTAATCTGGTTTTATGAGACAGTTAAAGTGAGGAATACAGAAAAAGGAGTCGGCATTTCAGCTCTCTGAACCTATCCTACCATTCAATGAGATTGTAGCTGATCTGTGGTCTAACTCCCGATCCCTGCCTTTGGTCCAAATCCCTTAATATGTTGCTGAGCAAACGTTTGTGTATCTGTTTTATTACCAACAACTGATCTAGCATTTAGTGCTGCTTGTGGAAGAAAGTTCGAAACCTCTCTCACCCTTTGTGTCCCCAAGTGCTTCCTAATATCTCTGCTGAATGCTCTGGCCCTAACTCTCGGACTATGCCCCGTAGTTCTAGATTCTGCAACCCGTTGAAATACTTTATCTTTACCTGTTTGAAATCTTCAAGATTTCAATCAGATCATCCCTTAATCTTCTAAATTGCACAGAAAACAGCCAATGTGTCGAGTGTCTCCTCACAACGCAATTCCTGAAGTCTAAGTATCAATCTAGACTTTGGATAGTTGGATAAATCTTTTGTTCACACTGTGACAACTCTGAGAATAGTGGGGCTTGATTTCCACCACAAGATCCATGCATTGGTCTTGACAATTCTCCATTAGTTTTTTTTATTACTTGCACTGTTTTCTGAGGCAAACAGCAAAGCAGGCATCTACTCCAGGGAAACTAGAATGACCAATACCAGATAGGTTAAACAAGTCTGTACTCTTAATGCATGGACTGCGCCCAAGTGGCTATGAACTTCAAAAGCTCTGATCAAACATTCACTCCACAACCCCACCAGATCAGCCTTCAAGCTCTCTTGCTTCATTGACAACAGCAACATAGTGACACAGTGACATTTGCCAAGTGCGTTGAAACATCAGTAACAGTACAGTATAATGAATTAACTAATCCTGCTTTCACTATATGATGTATTCACCAAAATAATCAAGAAAAGCAAACAGCAAACAGCATGCAGCAGGTGAACAGGAAGACTTGTGCTGAAGAGAAGAAAAGCTCAGAGTAAACATGAAATGAGATGCAAATATATTCAACATCATTACAGAGAAGGGAAGGATATGTTGAATGTACTTAAGATTCATCTTCAATTACAATGAAACATTTCACTTCTGAGATGACAACAGTTTTGGTAACCGGACTAGTTAGGGATTTTGAGCCACAATTTCACTGAATGGTACAGAATAGATTTGAGGAGCGCAAAGGACAATGAAAAGTTCCTATTTTTTATTTGAAAAGGCAGATAATTGGTCGCCAAGAGACACAGGTGAGAAAAACTACTACTACAACAACAAAAACACAAGTTTCTGGAAAACATTGGCTTATATGCAGAAAATAGGGAGGGAGATGGGCTAGGGAGTAAACGACAGGAGAGAGCCCACAGGAAGACAGAAGAGCAGTTGGATAGGCCAAGGAGTTGGTAACAATCTGGCTAGGAGGATGATTAGTTGTTAATGGGGATGGTTAGTGACTAACAATAGGCAGCAGGCTGTGAGATAACAAGGCCTGGTGTGTGGGGTTGGGGGCTAGTTTACTCCCTATCCCATCCTCCTTCCTATTTTCTCCAGATGAACTGACGTTTTCCCAGCTACTATCAGTTCTGAGGAAGGGTCACTGGACCCAAAACATAAACTCTGATTTTTCTCTTCACAGATGCTGCCAGACCTGCTGAGCTTTTCAAGCAACTTGTTTTTGTTCCTGATATACAGCATCCACAGTTCTTTTGGTTTTTTATTGAGAACAACGACAATCAGGGAAACAAGGACAAATATTACCAGGCCTCGAGGAACCGTGTGGGAGAAGGGGCAGGTGGGGCATTTAGAGTGCTCACTATCTTGATAACAGAATGGAGTTTGAGCTGCAGCAATTAAGAACACAGGTCTACCCAGAGGCCAACAGAGACACTATGTGGCAAATTAAGGGCTTCTTTCATTTCCCACACCACCAGTGTTGGTATTTTACCAGTGGCAGGTCAGTCCATGCCTCATGGGATGGAGGTGGCATCTCTGCTCTTCAAAAGGTTGGAGCCCCATTGGCAGCTGACTAAGCGGAGCAGGAATCTCATGGAATGTTGAGCAGGGAATGCCCTCAGCTTTGCAGTCTGTCTTTGGGGGTCCATGCTGCCACCACAAAATTCAGTCACAGAAACAAGCCACTCAAGGCCAATGTGTTTCATGATTGTGCAACACAAACCTGAAGAGACTCCATACACCTGTATTCTTCTTCGGGCATGGAATGTGCGAGTGAGAAGATGGTCCAGAGCTATCTACAGCTGCATAGTCATATAGCACTGTCCCATAAACAGCATGAAAGTGCTTCCAAGTTGTTCGCAAAGACACTACCCTGATCAGACCTAAAAGGGGGAAGATTCAACCAAGACTCCCCCGATGATTCTGCTCAATCAACTGGTTTAAGAAATCCTCGGTTTATCATCTTTTACCTGTGGATTTTCTAATATCCTCTTCACTCCATCCACTAAGTGCGAAAGAAACTTGGCTCTTTCTGCGTTGTTAAATAGCGATCTTCGGACAGAAGCAATTTGTACTAAACAAGATAACACCTGGAAGGAGGAGAAAACAAGGGTCAGGAATGAAGCCGGATACAACGTGGCGATAATATCAACTGAAGTGACAATAATTCTGATGATCAAGAGCTGATTCAATAACACGGGCAGAGACTGGAAACAGCTACCTGACAATTGCCGTCCAAGCCACTCACCATCCTGGTTTGGATGTCAAAATCCTGAAATTCCCTCCCTGAGGGCACTGTGGGTCAACCTACAGCAAATGGACTGCAGCAGTTCAAGAAGGCAGCTCACCACCACCTTCTGAAGGGGCTACTAGGGACGGGCAATAAATGCTGGGACAGAGTGACACCAGCATCCCATGAATGAATAAGGTCAAAAAAAACAACCATGTTACAGATGTTATTAAAATTATGGGGAATTTTAACGCAGCAAGATTGCAGTCATATTAGAAAGTCAACAACTGGAACACACTGATTTTAAATACTTGGCAGAAAATCCAGGGACAATTTGGAAAACTTACTCCCACAGACTGGATTGTCTTGATGTGGACTGCGTTGCTGCAAGGAGGCAGATTTAACAGCAATTGGAATGAATGAGGAATCCATCAATGCTTGATGGGAAGAGATTTGAACTATTACAGGGAACAACAGACAGTGGAACTAACTGGACAATCCTTTTAAAGAGCAAGGACTAGCACAATGGGCTGAATGCTCTCCTTCTGAGCTGTGAGATTGCATGTGGAGCAAATGCGATTTCAACTTTCCAAGCATGTTCCATGTCCAGGACAGGGACATGGGCTCTCTAACTTGAGCCTTGTGATGCAGCAATTCTCTGCTAGCATGAACACCATGGGGTCAGTAATCCAAGCAACTTCACTGCTAGCTCAAGAGTGACCCACAGTGCCCTTAGGGAGGGAATTCCAGGATCTTAGCCAGGCCGTTGAGTGGCTTGGAGGAGAAGTGGCAGGTGGTGGTGTTCCTATGTATCTGCCCTTGTCCTTCAAGATGGAAGTGCTCAGGAGTTTGAGAGATACTGTCCAAGGAGCTTTGGTCAATTTGTGCAGTACATCTTGTTGATGCCAAGGCATACAAGGCTATGGTCAAGTGCTGGTAAAGGGGATGAGGTTAGTTCAAAGATGGTCTTGGGCTAGCACAGACTTGATGGGCTGAAGGGCCTCTTAACTGTGCTGTGGACCTCGACGACAAAGAGAACAGACTGACTATCAGGGGATAAACATAATTTATTAATGGTTCCTTGACTGAGTCGTGACCAGCATTCATCAATTCAGCAAGTTGTCCATGTATTGCTCTTGGTAAGGAAGCAGCCATCTGATTATGGAAAGCTATTATCAAACCATGATGGGGAAAAGCATGGCAGGAAATGAATACAGCTCTAATAAAAAGAAAGATTTTTTTTTTTTTTTTACTGTATTTGAAGCACATCTCTCACAGTCTGCTTGGACAGAAGTAGTCGAAGCGCTTTGTTTAACAGACTAAGTAATGTCAGCAGCAAAAACAGGAAGGGGGCAGTATCTGAGAAGTGGGAATGACATACTATTAGCTTGCAGAACAGTCGCGAAAACCAGTCAGGCGATCAGCAGGGGAAGAGAAATGACAAGAGATGAGCACTTGGGCCTCACAAGCGTGATGAACCCTGGAAAGGGGAGATCAAAACCGAGGTAAAATATAAATGCAGGGGCAAACCATGAGAGGTTCAGCTTAGTGATTAAGTGAGGCTGGGGAAGCAACAGAGACAGTTGCACAAATGTTCTACATCTTGGTCTCAAGCCTTAACCTTGGCAAAGTCGTTGGTAAGGCACTTCTTGGTGGCAATGAGGAGACAGTTGGGAAGGGGAAAGGGAATTATTGAAGGTTATTCAGGGAGAAAATGCTATATAATGCTAGCAAATAGGAACAGAAGGCCATTCAGGCCATCAAGGCTTCAATGAGATCATGCTGACCTAACCTTCATTTCATTTTTTTTTTTTTTTTTTACTGTCCCCCATAATCCTCAACCAAGTGGTGGATCAAGGATCTATCTGACTCAGCCTCTGCTGTATTTCAGAGAAGAGGATGTCAAAGACAAATGGCCTTTTGAGATTCCAAATCCTCCTCATCTCCATCTTAACTGCTTGCTCTTCAGGATGATCAACTAAGCATCATAACCTTAATATGCCACGTGGGAGCAAAGCAGTAGCTAAAGCAAGGGCAGTGCAGATGATAAGACAGATAACCGGCTCTGCTGGTAATTTGATCAAACAGATTGAACCAGCTCGGCTTGTTTTGATATAAGGAAATCGAGGAAGTTACCATTAATCTTGCCCTAAACTTTTTTCCCCTCAATTCAGACAGATAAATGCCTAATCTGCCTTTACTCATCACATTTGTTACCACTTTCACCTCTGAGTTGAAAAGCTCTAGGTTTGAGGTCTTGCCAGTCACAGAAAAGCCTAGCAGTGATACAGGCACACATGAGATAGGAGTGTCTGTCCTCAGCTCACAAAGAGACAGCGAGTTAGTAGCAGGAAGGGCATCCAGCTGTAAAAGTGCCGATCAAATCCAGCATTGTTGGATTTGAAAGACAATCAACCAGCATTGTCATGGGCCCACATAACAGAGTAAGAAGCAGGAGGGTGAGGTGAGAGATACGGCAATGTACTAGCAGGAATGAAAAGTGAAAATGTGGATCCAAGTGTTCAACATGATTTCATAGGGTGCATTTAAAAGAACTATTTGTTTAGCTGGGTAGGTCCACAACAAGACACCTACACCTTTAAATTAGGGTGAGCTTATTTCGTAGTAAAATCAGAAAGCGCTTCAAATGAGAACACTGAAAATCTGAAACACTGCCCCCTACAAAATTTCAAACCCAAAATTCATCCTTTCAATGAAAAGATAAGGGCTCATGAACCAAGGCGTGCTGAAGGAGTGAAGAGACAGATCAGCAATTGAATAGTGGAGCAGGTTTCAGAGCTGACTGGCTCCTTCTCTTGTTGTGCTCAAGAATAGGACCCTCAGCGGAAGGCATTCTGGCCCCCAAACAAACGAGTTCTATTTTATACATGATGGACTGAGTTTAAAGGCTGGGCAAGGGGGTTCTTGATGCTAAAACACTGGTGGTTAAAGACCAACTTAGAACACAATAATCCATTAGAAACCACGCGATGGGAACAAGAGCCTGAACTGCTTCCTGAGATTACTTGGTGTGCAGTGTAACTCACAGAGACAGAGTTCAGAAATGAGTCACCATCTCTGCATGCTGCAGGATCTGGGATGGGGAAGATCAGCATCACAAATTAAACATTTCAACAACTCACTCATGGTTATGTCACACTTGTCAAGCTCCTTTACATCTCTGGACATTGATAAAGAGAAGTACAACTCACCAGAGGGGACAGCGATGGAGGGATGGAATGGTACAAATCGAAAAACAACTGTAGAGTTGATGAATCCAGGAAAGCTGTTGAAAAAGAGAGAGTGGGGGGTTTATGTTTAGACATAAAACAATGGAAGAGGAGCAGGAAATAAACACTCCACAATGGGACCGAGCAGGGCCAACTTGTTAAATATCACAGCTTACACAGGATTCTGCAAAGAACGGTTTACTGCGCGACAAGGTGAAGTCACTTGTTTCACTACCAGCAGACAAGGTGATCCCAATTCCTGACATGGACAGATTATGAGTTTTCAAACAAATCTCTCTCCTTCATTCTCAGTACCTGCCGTAAGCAGGTTGTTATTTAACTTATCCAACTTTTTGTTTTGAACCAGGGTAAGGGTCTATTTTCCTTACTCCCTTTGTGTGCAGCTCTTGACATTGTCAGGACCACAATATCACAGAAAAATTAAACCAGGAATAGGGTTTATTTCACACACTCAGGTGCGTGGGAAATTTCAGAACAAGCACAGTTACGAGGGGATATAGAATTGGAACAGATGAAAAGATTATTCAATTCGTGACAACTTGAACACAAAACAAACAAGGGATGCAAGTTTAGCAATGCCCTTGCTTTTGAAAGTGAAATTTGGAAGTCAAACTTGGTGTCTGCAGCCTGGAAGGCTTTGAGGGGGTTTCGGGAAGGGGCGGAATCACTGCCAAGCCAGCAGCTCAGGAGTTGTTTGCAGTTTCCTTTCTTGAAATAAACTTCTGCTTCACTGTCTTGAGTATTTACAGAGTGCACCAAGACAGGTTGCTGTTGTCTTATCCAAGCCAAAGGCTTTTCCTCAATCAAGTCCAGAGTTGGGTTGCTCTCGTCAGTTAACATGGAATGGAGCAGCACTGACCCACTCAACCATCTGCTATTTCAAAACTGTCAAGTTAGAAAAGCAAATAATAATAAAATACTGCAGGTGCTGGAACTCTGAAATAAAAATAGAAAAATGAGAGAGTTCTTACAGAATGGAAGCAGTGTGTACAAGACAACACTGACTGAAGCATCTCACCAGAACTTCTACATCAGGCAACACAAGCATCTCCAAATTTCCCTCACCACATCACTCACTATGCTGCCTGACAACCTGACCCCTGTTTCTTCATTGCTGCCCTGCCAAAATGCTGCAATTCCCTGACGAGTCTGTCGAGACCCTCACATTTGGCTGTACCTACACCACACAGACTGCAGTGGTTCACAAAGACATCTCGGCATCACTTTCTCAAGGGCCAGTTAAGGGTGGGAAATAAATGACAGCCTGGCTAGCAATCACCAAATGCTGAGAAAAAAAATTGGTAGTTTATTGCTATTTATGTGTGCTTCGCTTCTTCAAATCATGTGGGTGAAATGATTGGATTCTAAATGATTGAAACCAAAGCAGAAACTCCAAGTTGACAGTCCCAGCACAGTACCTGAGGGAGTACTACACAGCTTGGGACACTGTTTTCTGGATGAGACATGAAAGTCAGTCTTCATCTAGCCGCTCAGGTGAATAAACAAGATCCCACAGCCCAATTTGAATAAGGAGGGAGCTTTGCAGTTCTGTTATTCCTGGTCATTACGGCACTCTCAGTCAGCATTTCCACAGTCAGTTGAACTGAGGATTTACTTTGTTTCCTGTGCTTGCTGCGTGTGCAATTGCTACTGTGTTTGCCTACATGACAATAGTCATTGTGTTTTAAAAGTAATTCACTGGCTGTGAATTAAATGAGATGTTTATAGTCTGTGATAAGGTGCTGTGTCATTCAAGTTCCATGTAAATTCTTTTCATCTGGACATTCTGATTTTGTAAATGAGGATTTTCTCATAGATAAAGAGAGAGAGAAGGGGAGAGTGCAATTAATCAAGTACAGAGTAACCTCGGTTTCATTTGCAGGAGCACAGATGACAGCAGCAGGAAATGATGCTGAATCTGTTTAATAAACTAGTTACACATCATACAGTTCTGGGTGTCACACTTTCAGAGGGAAGTGAACACGTTCTAAAGGCTAAAGGGTTCCAGGGTTGATGAAGTTCAGTTGAGAAAACAGATTGGTCAAGTCAGTAATGTTTTCCTTGGAGAACTCCCTGCTCATAAATGGAAGAAGAATGAGAGGGGACAGACTGAGTGATTTGTCAAAGATGACTGCGAGGAGTGAGTGGTTTGGATTTGGAATGCACTGCCTGGAGTTGTGGTCGAGGTAGGTTGAATCTAATCACACAAGAGGGCATGAGATGATTAGTGATATAGAAATAATGCGCAGCTTTATTGGGAAAGGCCAAAAGAATGGCACTAAGTCACGAGGCTCGTTTGAAGAATGCAGACATGGTGGGCTAGATGGCTGCCTTCTACAGCATAACAATTCTGTGAAACAAAAGGAAGAAAACATTTGACCAAAAGGATGTAAAATTTTACAGAAGTCCAAGGATAATAAACAAGTCAAAATAAAGTGCTTGGAAACTAAAAGGAGAAAATTGAATAGCTTAAGTAATTTGCAAAACAAAATGAGCAACCTCAGCAGAAGTTTCTTCCTCCAACATGAGAAAATGGCAGGCTTTGTGGAAAGGTGTTTGGAAAACAGGTTAGTTCAAATGCTGAAATATCAACCATGGTGAACAGAAACCGTAGAAAAGGGCACAGCTAGGATATTGGAAATGAAACTGTTGGGGTTAAATGGAATGAAATTGTTTTAATTGCTGCCTGAGCAACAAGACACAGTTCCATTCGAGAACAGGAATTTGATGAATTGCCTTCTGAAGATGACCCACACCCCATGACCAGTAGAGAAAAAACTGAAAATGTAAGGGGGAAGGCAAAGAGACATGGAAGACATGAGACAGTGTGTGTGTGAGAGAGAGAGAGCGTCAGCAAGAGAGCAAGTGAGTTTTTTTGCTAAATTTGAAGGGGATCATGTGAAATTTTTGCCACTGCTTTCAATAAGATAGAAGATTAGTTGCATTGACTACAAGAAATGTGTAAGCACAGAAGTCAAAGTCAGTTAAAAGCGAAAGCCATAGTACTATGATCTGTGCTAAGCCTGAGGGGTGGCACCCTGGCTCAGTGGTTAGCATGTGCTACCTCACAGTACCTGGGACCCGGGTTCAATTTCAGCCTCGGGCGATTGTGCGCAGTTTGGACATTCTCCCCCTGTCTGTGTGGCTTTTCTCTGGGTGCCCTGGTTTCCTCCCACAGCCCAAAGATGTGCAGGTTGGGTGGTATGGCCATGCTAAATTGCCCAGAGTCTAGGAATGTGCAGGGTGTAAACAGAGGGTGTGGGGAGGGGGGAGGGTGGTGGGGGTGGTGTTGGTGGGTGGTGTCTGGGTGGATTGGTGCGCACTCTTTGGGCCTCAAGGTCTGTTTCCATACTGGAGGGATTCTATGTCTCTTGATTCTGAGCAGACAAAAAGTGGCCCCTAACCTAAAAATGAGTTGGTCCCAGAAAGATGCAGCTAGTAATTCAGAGATAGCAAGAACTGCAGATGCTGGAGTCAGAGTCAACGTTCCTCTGATGCTGTCTGACCTGCTGTGTTCCTCCAGCTCCACATTGTGTTGCTAGTAACTCAGGAGTGTGCACAAGGAACCCATGGAACAGTTATCAAGATGCTGAAAGGTGAAAACAAACAGCTTTCAGCAGGTGGGTCAACTCTGACAAGATAAATAATTCCTCATTGGTGTGCTGCAAGTTGCAGTCAGTTTTTGAAAACTGCCTGCTTCACTAACCTGCGCACTTAGAGAAGGAGTGAGTCCCCAGCTCGAGATGCTGCTGAGGGGCTTATGGGTGAGATCAGATTGAAGCACCAAGGCTGACACTTTGAGTGAACCACAAATTCAGTGGGATTGTCGGAGGGGCAAGGTGAATCAAAGAGGAGCCATACACCAGAATGGAAATGCAAGCAATGGTGTGTGAAGTCCACCTCCAGCCTTTAAGGGGGTCACCCAGTTACCAGCCCAGCCCCACTGTAATACAATAAGACACCATAGGCCTGAATGCTGGAGATTAAAAAGGGAGCCAATAGGACGGTGAGCACCCACCAGACCAGTCCTGGGAGAGATACGCCAGAAGGCAGCATCCACATGGTACCTCGTCACTGGAAAGAGATTGCCTGACATGTGGCCAGGAAATTGTGGGAAGGCCGCAGGATTTTGTCTTCTGTGCTCCTCCCTGAGGATAATTCAGAGACACCGAGACTACCCATTCCAAAAACGTTTGAAGCCCTCGCCCATCCAGAGTCTGGTCTGAACGCCAAGTCTCAGACTAGAGGGATGGGTGGAAAAACTATTTGCCTTCCACCAAGTTCACCTGCAGCACTGCTCTGCCTTGGGCCTAGTCAGTATGGGTACTGCTGCTGAGCTATCACTAACAGGGAGAGACTTCTTTTGACTCTGGAATGACCTGGACAGCTATGAAGTCAGAGTAATCACCAAAGGCCAAGGTCAGAGAGACACCGTGAGCAGCCACAGTTCTTTAAGGATCCAAGCTAGGGCCTGCCAAAGGCAGGACCCAGAGGAAATCAAGGTGGCAGAAAGGGACCCACTGAGCAAAAAGAAGTTCTGCCTGGCTCCCAGAGAAAGAATGGCATGCCTGAGAATGGCACAATTCAGCAAAGGTGCAGAAAGCTGGCTGTGCTTCATTGGCTCTGTATATAGCAGTAAATCCAAATGTTTGGGATAACCCAGGTTAAGTCCTCAAAATTAAAAGGGTTGAGCTCAGACCAACAAGAGTCAAAAGACAGCCAGGGTACAAGAGAAGATGTTGAGGGGGATGTGGCAAAGCAGGGTCCTTCTCTGCAGATTTAAACAGGAGTTCAGAAAGTAGAGATCAATGCTGATAACAAGAAGCCCGTTATGCTTTCTTGTTGAATGAGAAGCCAGTTAACCAGAACCTTCTCCCCCACATACACATGATGACCAGGAAGGAGATGCCTCATCTGGTTGAGAAAACACAGTATAGTAGAGCAGGGGGCTGGACCACCACAGATGGGAGCAGTTTTGACAGAACCCTACCCAAAGCCACGACTCAGAAAAAATGAACTCTCCTGTGTTTCGACT